TTACTATGAGGTTGAAACAAGTAAATGGCAGCCCGTGCCACCATGATAGCTTTCTCCCCCAGACCCAGGCATGTTGAGAAGGAGAACCCCAAAATCAAATCAAAGTCAGAACTAGCTGGTGAGCTTTCTGAGATGCTGCAGAACGGGTGTGTGCTAGTTATGCCTGCAAACATGCCTAAGAAGGGCTGTCACGCTGTCCTGTGCCATCTGCACAGGAGCTGTGGGGGAGAAAGGAGCAAGTCCCTTCCTCCGCAGGATGACCCGCCTCCCAGGGGACACGCATGCACACAATGCTCTGTGTGCACGAGCCTGCTGTCTGTCCCCTCCCTGTGCCCACCATGCTCTTCCTTCCCTCTGCGCTCCATACATCCTGTGATTCATTGTCTGCTCAGTCTTAGTGAAACACCCATCTCCTCACAACTCCTCACTGATGAGACGGCTCAGACCCTCTTTCAGGGTTTAATCAGAAATAAACAGAATGTTCACCCTTCCTAATTCGAAAGAGAAAGCAAGTGACTTTGTTTGACTCGGTCCCTGCCTGTATCTGTCTCCCTGGCCCTCACCCCGCCACCCAGCCCTCTTCCTTAGGGGGTCCCGGCCCGTTCTATGCCAGTTGTCCTGGCACCCCCTGTCCTCTCACCTCCTCCTCATCCCTGTGGTGGAGTGTTTGTTGGGAGGCGGGTGCTGACCGTGACATCTAGCAAGGCTGAGGCTGGAGGCACAGGGCGAGGGGCTAAGAGGGCAGAGACTGAAGCAGTATGCACTCCCCAGTTCCACGTGGCATTACTTATTGAACAGTACTCAGAATATCAACAGCTAACACCGACTGAGTTCTTACTGTGGTGCCAAACTCTGAGACAAGGCATCCAGGGGCAACAGACACTATAATACCTATGACAGCAGTGTCCTCTTGCACAGAGAATCGAGTGACTTACATTCATGCAGCAGGAGTCAGGAGCTGAGTTAAGCTCTCTGCCTCCCTTCCTGTTCTCTGCACAACGGAAGCTGCAAGTGAAAACCGGGTTTGAAACTTTGCACGTTACTAGAGGACAGGGGACCTCTGAGATCAGCTCTTCCAGGGCCCCCCTGGGTTGGGGGCAAGGCCAGAGCTGAAACCCAGTGTCCAGCCCTCTTTCTTCCTGTCCTTCCGCCCCCAACCTCCCCAGAGGTAGATGTATCCCAGAAAGACCCCATTGCGTCCTACCCCAGCTCTCCTTCATGTGGGTCTAAATGGGTGTAAATAGGGTCTGAGGAGAGGGGAAGATAACCTGTGTTAATTAAACTATATATGGGATGCCAGATAAAAGACAGGATGTCCAGTTAAATTTGAATATCAGATAAACATACTAAACATTATTTGTTATCAGAAAATCAAATGAGCAGCGTGAAAATTAACCCCTTTGTGCCTCAGTCTCCTTAGCTCTAAAATAGGCATAATAAATGTATCTACCTTCTATAGGGTTGTTGTGAGGATAAAATTATTATTTTATAGTATTAGAAGAAATCCTAGAAGTGTCCTATATCCTGGAAGTACTGTCAGCCCTATATCAATCAACACCAGCTATTATTTGTATTATTATTGTTTGCCTATTGCTATGTCCAAGGTAATAAGCTAAGTGAAGGCAAGAATGCCAGAGGGCTCAAGACTCCCACTCTGGAACTGTGGGGACCTGAAATGGGTCCACAAATCAATGTAACGCAGACTGTGGTGAGTGGCAGGGTAAAAGGGCCAGTGCTAAGGGAAGAGGGGTGTTTGCTTCCAGCTCAGTGAGATCAGACAAGGTACCAGCCAATAAATATTAATTAAGTGCTCATTATGGACTGGACACTTTACTAAACATGAGGGTGGAAGGAAAAACCTGACAAGGACCAGCCCTCAAGGACCTCACAGGCACTGGGGCAGCCAGTGGCAACAGCCCTGAGGACCATGTGAGCTCAGGAGGGGGCACATGGTCTTAGAGCAGATGCTGGACAAGAGAAGAGTGGGGGCTGAGATTGACAGAGGGCTTCCTGGAGGAGGTGATAGTAACCTGGCTCTTAAAGGATGACTAAGAGGTAACAAGGCAAAGGTAGCCTTTGAGCTGATTGAACAGAGGATGGGATTCCAGGCAGTTAAGACTCACAGTAAGGACATTCCCAGAAGAGGGAACTTCACAAGCAAAAGCATGTAGTTTGAACAAGCAGGTTATCGTTGCAGAGAGGTGAGCAGATCAATCCAACCAAAGCATGACAGAAAGAGCCAGCAAGGCAAGGTCTAACTGTGGAGAGCCTTGAATGCACTCCATGCTGGGGAAGTGGTTTTTATCCTGGAGCAGCAGGGAGCCCGTGAACATTGTGAGTATCCGAGCCCGAGCTCCCAGGATTGTCAACCAGCCATAATGCAGGAAGAAAGGAGTGGAGTGGAGTGGAGTGAAGAAAGAGTCAGTGCTGGGGGCCCAGTTCCTAAATCACTGTGGGAGCCCAGAAATTCGGGCAGTTGCACATGAGCGAACCAGACAGTGGGTCAGTACTGAATATATCAGTTAGCTTCTGCTGCATAATAAGCCACCCCAACCTTAATGAACCTCTGAGTCAGCGACTCGGCTGAGCTCAGCTGAGATGGCTCATCTCTGCTCCACATAGATCAGCTGAGTCTATGAACGCCCTCACAGCCACTAGCAGGAAGGGCCTCACTCTCATGGGCACAGATGTGGGGTGCCTGGGGGGACAAGAAGCCAAGCCAGGCATGCCATCACCCCTGGGGAGCATCAAGGTCTTTACTCCGTGACTGGTGAGGACCAGGAAGCAGAAAAGCAGAGCAACCTCTTCTTTCCCAAGGAGACAGAGCACCAGACTTCTAAGCCCCAGATGCTCTGCCCCTCATCTGTCAGAGGAATACGTCCAGGCTGCTTGGCGAACCAGTGACATACCACATTCATACAACACTAGACCATTTATGAAGTGTTTTCCCACATTGGATCTCACTTGATCCTGACAACTCCACAGTGAATCTGGTTTTTTTATATTCCCTATTTTACAAGTGAGGAAACTGAGGCACAGAGAGGCTAAGCAACTTGCCCTTGGCCACAAGTTAGTAAATACAAGGTCCAGGACTTCAGCCAAGCTGCCTGACCTTCAAGGTAGCCAAGCAAAGGGCAAGGGACCATTGGAGAAGAGTGATTTATTCCAAGAATCACTGGTGATTCTTATCCACAGGGAGATTTGGGGTTAAATAGGGATGAAAAATGGGGCTGGAGAGGACGTCAGACACCAAGAAGTTCAGACTTTATTCAGATGGCAATGGGGCACCTTTGAAAGACTTTAAACAGAGGAACGCTAGATATTCAACCAATGGTGAGAGAATGGGTGATTAATGACCAGGCTTTGCACAGATCACTCTGCGGCGGTGTGGGGGATGGGGCAGGGAGTGTGCAGTGTTATAATCCAAGCAAGAAATGATGAGAGGCTGAGCCAGGAAGACTCTCAGGAGTGGAAAGGGAGAGAGACAACTTCGAGAGGAACTTCATGGAATTAACCAAGATGGGCAGCAATGCAGGATGAAGAGAGCAGAATCTGGAAAGACTTGCAGATTTCTGGCTTCGTTAGTCGAATGGTGATGCCAGTCCCCAAAAGGGGGAATACGCATGTCCCGGATTTATCAGCGTATGAATGTTGGTTGAGTCCTCGGGCAAGTGCTGCTTTTCACCACGGATGCTGAGCAGAACGGAACGTGCCAGACAAGAGCAAACCTATATGGAAAGAAGGCAGAAAGTAACAGCCAGAGAGGGCAGGAGAAAACCAGCAGAGACTCCTGGAGGCCAATTTAGGATCTATTTCCCACCTGGATTTATTTTCTTCTTGTACTTATCAACACACAACATCATACTACGTCTTTAATCGTTCATTGTCTGTCTTACACACTAGAATGTAAACTCCACTGAAGAAGGAGCTTTGGATCCCCAGTGCTTCAAACAGGGCCTGGCACGTAGAGGTGCTCAACACTAATTTTCTGAAGGAATGCCGAGCTAGCGCTAAGAAACCCATCTGTGAACACAGGGCTTTCCACTCTGCAGTTCTGCACTTTGGCCATTAGGTGGCGCATCCGCGTGAGTGAGGAACCGGGAGGCTGGGGTTACACGTGGCCCAGAATTCGATGACACAGGGCGGGACAGCAGTGAGCGCTGAGTGGCTCTGAACGCAAAAATCATTCATCCACTCCCTTAACAGATATTTCTCATGCACCAACTGCAAGCCAGAACCATGCTTCCTACAGCCCTTTGAAATCAGGTTGGGGAGGGGAGTGCAGGGTCTAAACGCCCACACAGACAGAGCCTGTCCCAGCCTCGGGATGATCAGCGTGAGGGCTGGAGCATTGACGGAAGGAAGGGGCTGAGATGTCTATGAACGCCCTCACAGCCACTAGCAGGAAGGGCCTCACTCTCATGGGCACAGATGTGGGGTGCCTGGGGGGACAAGAAGCCAAGCCAGGCATGCCATCACCCCTGGGGAGCATCAAGGTCTTTACTCCGTGACTGGTGAGGACCAGGAAGCAGAAAAGCAGAGCAACCTCTTCTTTCCCAAGGAGACAGAGCACCAGACTTCTAAGCCCCAGATGCTCTGCCCCTCATCTGTCAGAGGAATACGTCCAGGCTGCTTGGCGAACCAGTGACATACCACATTCATACAACACTAGACCATTTATGAAGTGTTTTCCCACATTGGATCTCACTTGATCCTGACAACTCCACAGTGAATCTGGTTTTTTTATATTCCCTATTTTACAAGTGAGGAAACTGAGGCACAGAGAGGCTAAGCAACTTGCCCTTGGCCACAAGTTAGTAAATACAAGGTCCAGGACTTCAGCCAAGCTGCCTGACCTTCAAGGTAGCCAAGCAAAGGGCAAGGGACCATTGGAGAAGAGTGATTTATTCCAAGAATCACTGGTGATTCTTATCCACAGGGAGATTTGGGGTTAAATAGGGATGAAAAATGGGGCTGGAGAGGACGTCAGACACCAAGAAGTTCAGACTTTATTCAGATGGCAATGGGGCACCTTTGAAAGACTTTAAACAGAGGAACGCTAGATATTCAACCAATGGTGAGAGAATGGGTGATTAATGACCAGGCTTTGCACAGATCACTCTGCGGCGGTGTGGGGGATGGGGCAGGGAGTGTGCAGTGTTATAATCCAAGCAAGAAATGATGAGAGGCTGAGCCAGGAAGACTCTCAGGAGTGGAAAGGGAGAGAGACAACTTCGAGAGGAACTTCATGGAATTAACCAAGATGGGCAGCAATGCAGGATGAAGAGAGCAGAATCTGGAAAGACTTGCAGATTTCTGGCTTCGTTAGTCGAATGGTGATGCCAGTCCCCAAAAGGGGGAATACGCATGTCCCGGATTTATCAGCGTATGAATGTTGGTTGAGTCCTCGGGCAAGTGCTGCTTTTCACCACGGATGCTGAGCAGAACGGAACGTGCCAGACAAGAGCAAACCTATATGGAAAGAAGGCAGAAAGTAACAGCCAGAGAGGGCAGGAGAAAACCAGCAGAGACTCCTGGAGGCCAATTTAGGATCTATTTCCCACCTGGATTTATTTTCTTCTTGTACTTATCAACACACAACATCATACTACGTCTTTAATCGTTCATTGTCTGTCTTACACACTAGAATGTAAACTCCACTGAAGAAGGAGCTTTGGATCCCCAGTGCTTCAAACAGGGCCTGGCACGTAGAGGTGCTCAACACTAATTTTCTGAAGGAATGCCGAGCTAGCGCTAAGAAACCCATCTGTGAACACAGGGCTTTCCACTCTGCAGTTCTGCACTTTGGCCATTAGGTGGCGCATCCGCGTGAGTGAGGAACCGGGAGGCTGGGGTTACACGTGGCCCAGAATTCGATGACACAGGGCGGGACAGCAGTGAGCGCTGAGTGGCTCTGAACGCAAAAATCATTCATCCACTCCCTTAACAGATATTTCTCATGCACCAACTGCAAGCCAGAACCATGCTTCCTACAGCCCTTTGAAATCAGGTTGGGGAGGGGAGTGCAGGGTCTAAACGCCCACACAGACAGAGCCTGTCCCAGCCTCGGGATGATCAGCGTGAGGGCTGGAGCATTGACGGAAGGAAGGGGCTGAGAAGGGCTGCTGCAGCATCCTGGGCGGGTCTTGAGCTGCTCCGACTAAAGCGGAAACTTAATTAAAGGGTCCAAGAAACCTGGGTCTCAATTCCAACTCTGCCACTAACCTGCCGTGTTTTCTTAGCCAAGTGGTTTGCCCCCTCTAAGGCTGTTTCCTAATCTATAATATGGAGATCCTAATAGTAGCTATTTTGAACAATACTGAGAATAAAACAAGAGAGCGCTTGAGACACACCTTTTTACATAGCAGCAAAACTAAATATTACCCTTAAAAACTGGACACAATAACCAGTATGTGTATGGTAGTTTACAAAGCTCTCTCTACATTCTTCATATTATAAAGGTGATCCTGCAGGTATCTTTTTTATCCCACTACCCAGAGAAGAGGGCTAAGGTCATCAGATTATATATCATACAGCTTGTAAAGTAATAACCAAGTTCAGCTCAGCAAACATATATGGAACATCCCAAGGGGCAGGTGCTAAGCCAGGCAGTGGGAATCAAGGATGGATGAGATTGCAGTCTAGGGGAGAGAAAAGCACACGCAGATCATTTGCATAGAACAGAAGGATGCCCAGGATGCTAAGCGATCACAGCCTAAAGCCCCTTGACCCCACCAGGAGATTCCAGAAAGACCTCATGGGCTGGACAACCCCTAGCTAAGCCTTGAAGTCTGGATAAGAATGACCCAGCAGAAGAAGAGGAAAGAGAGCTCCAGCATTCCAGGGTAAAGAAATGCCCCATACAAAGGAATCTGTTCAGTTCATGCTGGGTTGTAAGATCAAACCCAGCACCCAGTGAGCACTATGTGCCTTTCCTCTAACCTAACCCAGGAAGTCACAGAGAGAGCAAGGCTCTAAGGAAGGGCGAAGGGCCCCCCAGGTGCTCTCATTGTCCAGTGAGCCAGAGCACCCCTCAGTTTGCAGTTATCCCAGGAACCCTCTAGAGCAGTGCTCCTCAAACACTGGTGCACATGCAGATCATCCGGGGTCTTTTTTTCAAAGCTGATCCTGGCCCAGAAAGTCCAAAGGTGGAGCCCAAGCGTGGGCATTTCTGACAAGCTCTAGGGTGATGGGGATGGTGCATCCTGGGCACACGCTTTGAGTACAAAGGTCTCCCCATCAGCTCCGAGAGGGCAGGCTGTGCCTGGTTTTTCTCCATTATATGCTCAGACTGTGACATAGGCTGAGTGAAAGAAATGGAAGGAGAAAGGTGGGGAGGGAAGAAAGGAAAGCCATCTGGGCAGACTGAAGCTGGAGGCAGGAGATGAAGGAAGAATCAGAAGGGTGGGTGGTGCAACGAGGATCAGCCCAGAGGCCTTTGGGGGCCCCTCTGCCCCCGACAGCTCTCACATTCACAGCACAGACTCAGCCCGCTAGCCACCTCTGCCCCGTCCCTGGGGCCTTCAGCTGAACACTGACACCCACAAGCAAAGAAGACCAGTTCTGGCGGCAAACCTCCTCCGCCTCCCTCCGCCAAGTGTCCCTGATCTGACACAGGCGTAGCCTGCAGCCTTCTCCCCAGCCTATGACCAGGCAAAACCCCACCGAGAGGACTGGTGCTACGGAGAAAGCAGCCTGAGGCCCCACCCCTGCCACCAAGCCCACCCCCACACACCCAGGCTGCCCCTCTCAGAAATGGCGGGAAACCCCAATGTCACACCACAGAGAGTTCCTACACAGCTGTCCCAGGGAGGCTTGGGGTTGTCCCCTCCCAGTCCACCCACCGACACTCATCCATCACCCCAGCTCTTCCCCCACCACACACACAGCAGATGTCTGTGGCACACCCACAACCCAGGGATCTTTCATTTCTTTATTCAACAAATTATTGAGAAGCTACTGTGTACCTACCAAGCACTGATCTAGACATGGCAATACTGCAGTGATAAGACGAGGTCTTTCTTTGTCATCAAGGAACACCCTCTGTGGTCAGGGGAGACAGTGGTCAAGAAAAGAAAGTGGGGTGGCATAACAGACAGTCACTGAGGGGCTATTACATAGTGGCCAGGCCTCGCTGGGGATGTGGCATTCAAGCTGTGCCCTCATTGACAGGAAGAAGCCAGCAGGACAAGGATACAGAAAAGAGCATTCCAGAGAGAGAGAGAGAGAGAGAGCAAGGGTCAGGCCCTGGGCTGGGAGTGAGCTTGGCTTGCTCAGCAAACAGAAAAGCCGTGAGGAGGGGTGTGGTGGGTAAGGAGTGGGCTAAAGGACCTCTGGTCCCAGAGGCAGGCGCAGGTGCTTGAAGGCAATAGAGAGGAGTGCAAATCACAACAGAGTGCGGCAACACAACTGATTCATGTTGTCAGTAGACCATTGTGGACAGTGCGTGGGCATGACTTGAATGAGACCCAGTCTGCCCTCCAAAGAGCTTAGCATCTGCAAGGTGCTCCACCACGCTGCTGGGGGCAGCTAATGTGCCCTGGGCTGCAGGAGCACCTGAGGAATCCTGGAAGCCCAGCCAGGGGCTTAGGTGACCAACTGGGCTCTGGAGGAAGTCCCACAGTGCCGCCCATGGCCTGGCTCCGGGAGAATATCCCCAGCCTGTTAGGCAAGACTGGCCAATCTAGGCTGGACACCAAGGCCAGTGAAGTGGAGTGGTGTCCTAGACAGTAACTGAGGGGCTATTACATAGGGTGGTATGAGCTTGACACCCAAGAGTTGCTGGGCACAGAGGCAGTGAGCAATTCCAGAATGGGGCTGAAACCCCCTGACCCCAGCTGTGGTTTGCCCCCTGTCCCGCTGATGGCCATGGGAAGGACAGTCAGGTGGTCACCCCTACCATATGCTCTAGTCAAGAAGCCCAAGGCCTTCCAATTATGGGAGGCCTTCTCAGTGATGGCTATGGATCTGGGGGGTGATTGCTTACAACTTGTAACCACACAATCTCTGGTTTCCATGATACAGCATAAAGAGCCCTCAACATAAGGCAGATGAAAGTGTGACCTCCTTGGGGAAGCCGGGATGTACTCCCCAAGGCCACTGCCATCCTTCATTGTCCTCACTCACTGGTGATGCTGGGCAGCCCCTTGTGCTCTCTGGCTTCAGTTTCCTTCTCTGCAGAACAGGGCTGTGTCTACCCGCCCTGTCACTCCACACAAGCCCCCTAGCCTTCGGCAGCAAAGCTCAGAGAAAGTCCTCAGAGGCTCCTCCCCGCATCACCCACCCATGGGTGCTGCACAGTCTACTGGCCGTGGTAGATCCCCGGCTGCCGGCTCAAATCCTGGATGACGGATCTGCAAAGAGCCATGTACCCCTGCAATGGGGGACCCTTACTTTGCATGATCTGTGCTTTCAGAAGCAGCGCGGGAGGGGGGCCAGCCAGTACTGGGTTCTGTCTGAGGCCAGCCCCTGCCTGAGCGGGTTGGTGGCCTCTGCTGGCTGGCTTCCAGCTTTGGGGACTGGCTCTGCCTGGGACCCACTCAGGTCTTCCCCAGGCCTCAGTCACCCAACAGTTAATGTGTTTCTTCCTGAATGACAACCAGCACAACACCAAAACAGTCAACTATTTTTATCTCTGGATTAATCACAAAAGGATAACGCTTCCATCTTCCCTGTGATTAAAAATTAGGAGACCAAACTCTATAGTGGTTCAGGATAATAACCTATCCTGAGAGGGGAATGTATGAATAATGTATCTCCAGGCTCAGGCTGCTCAAGACTGTCTCCCCTCCCAGGCCCCAGCTCTGGGCCCCAGTCTGAATGGGGAGGTAATGAGTGGCCCCCCTTCCACCAGACCTACAGCTGCCAAGAGCGACTGTTGATTTCTATTCAGCCTCCTGGACCCCAAACATCCTCTCTCCTCACCCACCCCCGCCCCCACCCACCCCCTCCTACCCCATCTGGTGTGCAACGAGGCGAAGGCCAATCAATAATGCATAGCTACATGAATAACCGGCATGATAACCACTTATTTGGGAAGATGTAATCAGGACCCATTCTGAGGGTGGAGGTTTGTGTGTGTGAGTGTGTGTATGTGTGTGTGTGTGTGTGTGTGCACATGAGCGCTCACGTAGCAGGATCCCACTCCCCTGTCCCCTCCTCTGCGCTCCCTCTAACCCCATATTCCAAAACACAGCACGGGAGAAGCAAGAACAAGGACTGGCCCCTCGCTGTTTGGGGGTTTTGGCGCGGCCTCCTCAGTCTCTGCCCTGTGGTCACCGTACTGATGCCCTGAGCAAAAGGACAGGGACAGTTAGGTCTCAAACTTGGTCACCTGCTGGAATCCTCTGGGGAGCTTTAAGAACTCCTGGTGCTTGGGGTCCTCCTCCAGGGATTGGGATTTGGTTGGCCCAGGTGGGGTCTGGCAAAGGGATTTTATAAACCTCCCTAGAAGATTGTAATGTACAGCCGAGGCTGAGAACCACTGTCTCGGACCCAACAAATGTTAGTGCTGAAAGGAACGTTCCAGATCAACCGCTGTACTTTTGCATTTTATATCTGAAGAATAAATCCAGGAAAAGGGACTGCCTTTGCACTTTACCCTCTCATCTAGGGCACTTTCCACAAACTGCACTGCTTGGTCATCACTGCGGAGGCTATGAAGTCAAGGATGGCCAGGTGTTTATTCTATTCCTGGAGCTTCAAATGGTTGCTTCCACCTTCCATGGCTTTCCACAACCTCAGCCAGAACGCCCCCTATCCCAGGCACCTAGTGGGGAGAAGGCTGCCACAGCAGCTACCCAGCTCTCCCCACTAGAAGGGTCCCCTGCCACTGCAGAGACAAAGTTCTCCTCACCAGCAACCGTCACACCCACCCCCCACTTATGGAAAGCCCTCATTAGCCTCCTTTTCTCAGCACCAAGGAGGCCTCAGGCACTAATGAGAGGGTATGGGCTGGACGGGGGTGGGGGGTGGTCTTTATCATCCAGCTTCACCACCAGCTGCCTGTGCCCAGGGCCCCCTGAGGAGGCTGGGCGGGGTTGGATGAGGCTAACTTCCTCCCTGGGCCAGAACCTCGGGTGGAGTCCTGGGGCTGGTGATAGCATCTTGGAAGGCTTGAAGGTTTGTGTTTCCTTGGGAAACAGACACTTGGGGGCTGGCATGTACTAGTGGGCCGTAGTTCTGAACAGGCCTCCTCAAAGTGGAGGCCAGAAGGAAGGGGGCGGAGCCACTAGCTGGCGGTGTGATCCTTCGCATACTTATCTGACCCCAGAGCCTCCTGGAGTTTCCTGGGGATGCCTGGGGAGTCCTAGGAGAGGGACAGATGTGGGGGAGGCCCTGGGAAGGGAAGGGAAACCGGGCAGGTTGTGGGAGCCAGGCCAAACCTGCAGGGTGGGGGCCGGAAGGCAGAGCCTGCTAGGGCAGGGCTGGCCTGGAGCTGGCAGGAGCGCTGGCCTGCTTTCCCGGAGCCCACAAAGGCAGAAGCTTGCACAGGGCCTGGGTGGAAGGATGGAACTTTCTCCAGCAACTGAGCAAAGAAAGCCCTTTGTGCTGGGACCCCAACTTGTCACCCAGTTACCCCTCACCTATCCACAGAACAGATATGCAGCTTAGCCCTCCTCAGGGCTCCTGCCCATCCTGGGGGAGGAAGACCAGGGAGTCCTCAGGCAGTCTCCAGGGAGCCCTGCCCCTTCTGTGGTTCAGGGGGGCAAGACAGGGAGCAGCAGACATCTGAGACCCTCAATGTGACCACAAGCGTGAACATCAGAAGAGACTCTGTGATCTGAGGCCAGTCACTTAACTTCTCTGGGCCTCCTCTTCAAATGATGGTCATCTATCATGATAACTGCCCATCCTCAGTCTCCTAGCCATCATGGGGATCAAAGCGGTGGCTCCATCAGCATTGGCAAATGTCAATGGCACTGCCACTGGGCACTGGGCTTGGGCTCTGTGCTGGGCATTGTGGGAAACAGCACCGTGAGCCATCCTGCACAACCTGTCTCCCGGGGGCGGCCCCAGGTCTCAGACCACACTCCTACAAAACGGTGTGGGAGGAACGGCAGGAGGGACTCCTTCTGACTCTGGAACGAGGGAGTTGGAGCCACTCTGGGAGAATAAAGTGTTAAGGAGATGCCAGGGCCCGTGCAGCCCTCTGAACCTCGGTCTCAGCCTTGGAAGGCTGCCCGCCACTGGCCCCCTCCGAGGGAAGGGGCCGGCAGGACCTCCAGGTGTCCGGGGACCTGGCTTCCAGCCTGGCTCCGCCACTTGTTTGCTGCGTGACCTTGAACAAGTCACGTCCTGCAGAGCCTCATTTGCTAGGTCTGCGCAGTGGGGATAACAAGAATGTTTACCTCGCAAACTGTCATGAGGATTAAATCCAACCACGGATGTGACTGGGCTTCGTTTAAAAAAAATAATCGTCAAAAAGAAAGAATCCAGATATTATCTAGGCAGCGGAGCTTTGCTTCAGATGTGTGAAACAAAGCTAGTGATGCCCGCCCGGTCCCTTCTCGGCTTGGAGTGAGCACCAGATGAGATGGTGATGTGAACATCCTCTGCAAATAAACATGCGATGCACATGTCAGGGGTAATTGCTGTTGCTGTAATACAAGGGATTATACATTTTATTAAAGTATGATAATTACTGTTCATCATCCGCTCCGTAAAACCCACCCAGCCCAGCCTGCCAGCCCTGCCGGAGGAGAGGGGTGCCTTCAGCCTGACCTCTCTGTTCCTCTCCCCACAGTGCCACCCGATGACCCCGTCATTCTGGGGGGGCCTGTGATCAGCCTGCGGGCGGGGGACCCCCTCAACCTCACCTGCCACGCAGACAATGCCAAGCCTGCAGCCTCCATCATCTGGTTGCGGAAGGGAGAGGTCATCAACGGGGCCACCTACTCCAAGGTGAGGCCTGGGGCGGGAGAGAGCAGCTCTCCCCACCTCTCTGCAGCTCCCGCTTTCTCACTGTATGTCTTTCTGTCACGTTTTATTTCTCCCTTTGTCTCTCTATCTGTGTCATTCCTTTTCTCTCCCACTCTGTTACTTGCTCTCTGTCATGCTACCTGTTTCTGCCTCTTGCCAATGTGTGTATCTCTCTCTCTCTCCCAGGGTAAATGCTGGGCTTGGTGAAGACCCTAGAATAGAGCATGGTCAGAGGAAGAGACTAGGGGTCCAAGTGGTCAGACTCTAGGGTTTCCAGATAAAACACAGGATGCACAGTTAAATTTGAGTTTCAGATAAACAACAAATAACTTTTTAGTATACTTATGTCCCAAATATTGCAATAGGCGTACTTACAGGCATACTTACACTAAAAGATTATTAATTGTTTATCTATAATTCAGATTTATCTGAGTGTCCTGTATTTTTATTTGTTAAATCTGGCTACCTTTCCAGGGCTGCCAGTTGAGGCTGTTTGGGGCTCAGGGGCCAGGGAGGGCTGAAATCCAGCAGGCACCTAGCCCTACACCCTGCTGTGCCAACCTGCGGGCTGCCTCTCCAATTCACACAAGGTGCCAGGAGCTGGAAGTACCCTGAACTGGTCCCTGTGCAAGGCACGTCTTTTGTTTTCTGTATTTTATGACTCTTTGACATCTATCTCCAGGCTCTGCAGATGAGGAAGGGCTGTCCCTGCCAGGGTTCGTAATCCCCAGAGATGGCAAACATGCAAAGCAAACAGTCCTGGGTCCACACCCTCATGACTCCTTTAACCAGGCTCCCACCCTCCCAGACACTGTCCTCCTGCCCTAAAGCACCCCGCAGCCAGGGAGTGGAGAGCTGGACACTGGCACCATGGCCTAGAACCTGCCAAAATCTTCCAAACAATCCGACCCTAAACCTGCCCTGGCTGCGTCCCCTGCCTGGCCCCCTCTTCCCCACAAAACCACAATAAGGGCTTCCACACACTCTCCCCTCCCTCCCTCTGCCTCCTGACCACCCCTGATGCTAACCCACGTGGCCCCAGCCAAGAGGCTTGTCCCCTCCTCTCGGGAACCATGAGAATAGCACTACCTTCTCAATGAAAGTGGTCTGATCTAGTGGGCCTCACCCCACCTGAATAAAAACAAAGTCCCAGGTACATTTTCAAACAGCCCCCCCAAACTCCACCCAAGGAGACCGTGAATAAGGCCCCTGGCAGAGCTCATGCCTCACAGAGCCTTGAAGGATGAATGAGACCTTGGAGGATGTCCAGTCCAAGTGCTCAGATCGACAGATGGAAAACCAAGGCCCGAGTGACCGCCCTTCTCGTGACCTCAGCCTCAGGCTGCCGGGCCCGTTCCCGCCTCTGCTCCCTCCCGTGCTCCTCTCAGTGTGGCCTCGGAGGCTGTAGCAGGGATCAGGGCCAGCCAGCACCCCGATTTCTGAAGGGGGAGGTCCAGGACTCCAGAGCCCAGCCCTCCCAGGGAATGGGGGGTGCACAACCTGCTCCCCACTCCTACCCACCACTGGCTCCCCATCCAGGGCCCTGGAAAGATAAGCAAAGCCCTTGTCATTAGTGGAGGGCATGAGGCAGAGCTGACCTTCTCTGAGGGTGTGTCCTTCCTGTCCAAAGCTGACCACCACCAAGGGGTCAGTCCCGGGGCTGCCCGTCCAGGCCGGGGCCCCCATCTAGAGCCTGGTGCCAAAATCTGGAACAAACGCCTTCCCTTGGACACAAGTCCATCCAGGGAAAAAAACGCCTGTTGGAAGATAAATTTCTCACTCGTGTCCTAGGCTGGAGCCACCCTGTTGTGTCATGAAATACAAAACAGGACACAGGACATGTATCATCCAGATGAGAATGAAAAGGAAGGAAGAGGTGTTCCTTCCAGTCTGGGCATCTGTCCAGCCCCTCCCTGAAGCTGGGCCAGCCGGGCCCCTGCCAAGGCTTATGTCTTGCAGAGGATACTCCCCCATCTGGTGAGGAAGGTCAGGGTCACCCTGCTGGGCCTGTCCAGGAGCCACCTTGCCCCCAGCCTGCTGTCCTCCTCCACATGGGGAGGCCCCTCAGAGAGCCTGGCACCACATTACTCAGACCAGAGCACGGAGGCCACGGACCACCCTTGCCCCACCCAACACTGTTCCCACTCCTGCCGGCCTGTGACAGGGTGGCAGTACTGGGCAGTGAGGGGCCTGGTTCCAGTCCCTGCTCCATGTGACCTGAGGGAAGTCACAACCTGAGCCACTGGTTCCTCATCTGTAGAACAAAGGTGTTGGATCGGACGCTGTATTGGTAGGCTCAGGCCGCCATAACAAAATACCGCAGAACAATGACTTAAACAGCAGGCCTTTATTTCTCACAGCTGTGGAGGCTAGAAGTCCAAGATCAAGGGGCCAGCGGGGTTGGTTTCTGGTGAGGCTTACAGATGGCCTCCTTCTGGCTGTGTCCTCATATATCCTTTCCTCTGTGCTCACAGACAGAGAGGGAGGGATCCCTGGTGTCTCTTCCTCTTCTTGTAAGGATGCCAATCCTGTTGGATTAGGCCCCTCCCTTATGACCTCATTTAACTTTAATTACCTCCTTTAGCCCTTGTCTCCACATACAGTCACATTAGAGGCCAGGGCTTCTCCTATGAATTCTGGGGGGACACAGTTCAGCCCATAGCAGGTGCCTGCCAGTAGAGACAAGCTGTAAACCCGTGACATGGCCCACGGAGGGTGGATGATCCAGCCAGTCTCGTAGGGCGCTGGCTCTCGAGGCCGTCCCAGCGCACCCCACTGCCTCCCCCACCTTCCCTGGAACAGCAAGGACCCTTAACAGAGGCGCTTCTGAAGCCCCGAAGGCAGAACAGCCCCAGACAGGCTGTGCATGAGTCGGGGCTGGGGCATGAGCCACTGAGAGAAAGTGTCGAGGGAGACAGAGACGGTGGGCCACAGGCATGCTCACGTGTCAAGCAGGATCCCAGGTCCACAGAAAAGACCCCACAGAGCAATCCCGAGAGCCCTTAGTGGGAAGTCCTCAGCATTTGTCACATGGCAGGTCGTTGAAGCCCGTGGGCCTGGGAGCAGGCCAGCCTCAGTTTGAATCCAGGCTCTGTGACTGTGGCCAAGCTACCTGACCTTGCTGGGCCTCAGCGTCCCCATCTCTACAGTGGGGGAAAAAATGGCACCTGCCTCAAAGGATGGTTGTGAGGCTTGAATGAGAGGCGTGATGGCAGAGAGAGCACACAACGAGCACGGCTGTGGGGATCAGTGCCCGGCCCTCCCTTGACTCTCACAGGCCCCCAGTGTGCCACCCACACTGCCATCCACATTTCCTAGATGACCCCTGGTCTGCATGCCTGGGTTCAAACCGGAACCCCATCACATATAATGGTCATGGATGCCCTCTGCCTCAGTTTCCCTAGCTGCAGAGTGGGCTGATCATCACCATAGACGCCTGGACAGGAATTGTGCCTTGACAGCATTCTGTAAGGAGCCTGGCACAGAGGCAGGCTTGGTAAATGCTAGCTAGCGTTACTGGGTCCCTCCTCCCAGAGCCCTGCCTGCCTGTTTCTTCCTCCCCAGAGGTCACCCAGCAGCCCTGGTTTCTTGGAAGTTTCTTTCAGCTATTCTGCTATGTGGCCAGCAGGGGGAGCGGAGCTGATAGGTTGAGGGTGGCCGGGCCCCTTTCCTGGGAGGAGAATCAGAAGAGGAAGTGCCCTCTGGCCCACTCGCCAGCGCGGGCTGGCGGGGCCTCTCTTTAAACGCGACACTGCCACAAGAGCCCTCGTGGCCTGGGGTCCTCAGGAGGTGCTACGGGAGCTGGTGACAAGGCCTCTCTCCACCTTGCCTCCTGCATACCCAACCTCAGGCCATCTTCTCTGGGCCTGGCACCAGAAAAGAGGCCATGTGCCATTCATCTGGGAAGCCAGCACATACACAGACCAGGGGAGGCAGGACATGTTTGTGGAAGAGGAAGGATGACATTGTGGGCTGAAACCTGAGAGAAATCTGCAGGAGCCAGCTTTCTGCTCCACCTGCTACTTCCCCAGCAGCTGCCAGGTAGGGCCTGAGGCCTTGACCCTGTTGCAGGAGGCGGGCAGGAGGGCTGCTTGGTCTTAGGACCCACAGTCAGGTATGCATCTACCTTGACACCCCTTACCTTCCAGCCCTACCTCTCTGCTGCCTCCAGCTTCAGGCTGCTGCCTGCCCAAGGCCACCCACCCACCACCAGGACCACCGGCCTCATTAGGACCCATGCCAACAGGAGCTCTGAAACAACATTCAGACCCCCTCCATGTCCCCTCTCCCTACCAGTCACCCCATGACCCCCATCCCATCTGTCCATCTTAGGGACCTAGAGTCTCTACCCAGTGTGTCTGCTGCCCACCCATCCTGGCCATCTTTGTGAAGGGTGTCCCTTCTGGCCAAAGGGCACAAGACGGTCTCTGAGGATGCAGCATCTGGGGCAGATGGCACTGTATAGTTCCCCACCTTCCCTTCCAGCCCTTATTCAAGCCACGTGACAATAGGCCCTAATGGAGTCCCCAGGCAGATATAAAAAGGGGAAGCAGAGACGGGAAAAAAATTTTAAAAAAAAAGGACACAGCAGGTGGGGGAAGTGAGTGCAAAGGGAGAGAGGAGGCCTTGTTGCCAGGCAATGGGGCCTGCTCAAGGCCTTGCCAGGCTGTTTGCATACCAATGAGCATCCCTTATTTAGCACCAGGGTTGGGGCACCCACCCACGCATGCCCTCCAAGCCTCCATCCTCCCTACCTGTGGTCCCTGATGCAGGCTTCACCAGGCCTCCCATCTGCTGGAGTGCAGCCTGGCTCTCCACTGCCCAGCTGAGGCCATGGCAGCCTTGGAAAGAGCAGAGCACAGCCGCTGCTGCCCACCCTGGACAACCACACACAGGGTGCCCCCTGTCCCCACCAGCCTGTCCCCCCAGGCCACACTGTCAATTGAAGGCCAAGTGCCCACCCTCCAGAGTGGGGCCATGGGGGCTGGGTGCACGGACAGGACACATACCAGGAGAGGCAGGGTTTGGAGACCACACCAACCTCGTAGCCACTAGGACACATGGGAAAGCTTCTTGGAAGCAGTTAGTGGGCAGAGGCCCGTGGACACGCAACACAATGGAGCAGAAGCCCACCCACAAAGGCTTCTGTCCCGAAACCCACACTCCTGCACGCCTGGGATATATACAACCCACATCTGGTCCATAGCAGCATAGGCAGCCTGGACCCTAGCAGACCCGTGGGACCTGCCATCCGGGTCCCAGGGAACAGCCCAGGAGAGTGGGAGGCTGGGATCTGGCAGCACCTAGGTGCCCACCAAGCTGGAGGGAGGCTGCCCTAGGCCTGGGAGGTTGTGACTCACCATTAAAAGCCCACTCAACCTCCCTGAGCTGATTTGCATGCTAATAAAGTTTTCTGGAGCAGGAGGTGGGAGCCTGGGGCCCACAGTGTGACCCAGAGCCAAGATCACTGTAAGAAACAGAGAAAAGGATCTGGGAAGGAAGGAAATGGGGCTGTGACCAGAATCAGCAAATGACCCAATGCTGGATCTGACCTTCCTTCAATGCCATGAAGTCCAAAGGCTTCATCTGCATATGAAGCAAGGAGAGACTGTATGAGAGGAATGGAGGAAAGACAAGAGAAAGAAGAAAAAAGCAGAGGTGAGCAGAAAGGAAGGAATGAAGAAGAAAGCTGGGGTGAGAGAAGATGGGGGCCCAGCGCCAGCGGGGCAGGCCAGCCACTCACCCCAAAACCCAGCTGTTCGCCCTGCAGGCTGCAGCCTCCTGGCCCTGCTCAGCTTCCCTGCCTGTGAACATCCTCCGGCCTGCAGACCTGGTCCGACTGGGGGCCCGGGGGCTGGGGGCCAGGGCAAGGTACCCAGGACCCCCACGGGAGCCGGCACGGTGCTGCCTTCTCCTCACCCACAGTCTCCGCCCTCACTTAATGAACACATCTCCCTTTTCTCTAATTAGGTGGAACAAACAACTTGAACCAGAATTTTTATTTTCCAGAAAAGCACATGCCCGGACACAGTAAATATGTCATTAATCATCATTCTGAAGCACAGGGGCACCCCGGGAGCAGGGAGGTGGGGGGGCAGTCAGAGGGCCTGATGAGGAGTTGAGGCTTCCTCGCTCCCCTCCGCACCACAGCTGATCAGCCGCATGGGTTCCTGGCAGAGTCAAACTTATGTAAATGTTCGTGTTAGCACAGTGGAAAAGTAAAGAAGGAAAGAGGATGGTTAAGAACAATACTGACCTCCCTCCCAACCTGCCCCCCTCACCACCCTTCCCCAAGTCTTATTTCCATCCAGGAAATTGTTCTTATTATCACTTGTCTATTTATAGATGCAGGAGGTCTGCTGAAGAGCCCCGAACCAGGGCATCACCCTTGGTGAAGGCCGCTTCCCAGCCCAGCCGGGCCAAACCGCATTCCCCCATTCCTGTGCACAGGCCTGCAGTTCAGCGCCCTGGCCCTGGGGCTCACATGAAGACCCTGAGCCCACTGTCAGGAACCCCTCCTTGGCTCGCTGGGACTGAGCGCACCACTCTCTGCCAGCCTCTCTTTCTGGAGCCCTCTACCCAGGGCAGAGGCCACCACCCCAAGTTCCCAGAAAGAATGTGCTAGGAGGCCTCAAGCCACAGGAGCCTGCCTAGACCCAGGCAGTTTTTGAGTGTGCAGGGGAAGCAACCCAAGACCCCTGCCCTGCTCCATCAATCTCTCTGCCTCTTAGAGTCCTCTGTCCAAAGCAGGATGTGCTGCTCTAGACAGAGGCTCAGGGCGTGCGCTCCTGGTGCTGGAAGCTGCACACTTTGCCCCCTCTGAACTGTGGACCTGGAGAGCAGGCTCCAAGCTTATAGGTTGCCACTGTTCGATTATAAAAAATTCAGAAGAGTCCGTTTAAAGATCTAACTGCCTTTATCCAACAACTCATGAATCAGACAACATCCCATCCAGCAAGCAGAGAGGAGCTCCAAGGAGCTGTATAAAATGGCAAGTTTTTAAAGGCAGAGAGGGGGCAGAAGAAAGGAAATTACCAGACAAGCACGCATTGTTTCAGGCAGTCTCCCTCCTAAGGAGAACAGGAGGGTCTATCAGCAGATGACCTTCTGGCACTGACCAGCAATGTCCAGGTTGGCAGGTTAGAGGTCACATTCCAGGAGGGGGGTTGAAACTGCAGTTAGGTTGGGTGTTAAGTCTTGGTTTGCTCACGTGGGGCTTAGCACACATGACTCCACATGGGGTCTGCTGTCTCCTTTTTAACACAGCTATCTCAGTGAACTTGGGAGGCTGCCTAATCCTTCTAACTGTTCTCCCCTGTAAGAGGAGATCACACTGACCACCTTCCACTCATGGGAACTGTGGTGGGAGGATCATAGGCTCATGTTAAGTGATCGTCATTCTCAAGTGCAAATCCCAGCGCTGCCCAAAAAGCTCCAGACTCTCTTTGACCTCAGCTTTCTCCTCTGCTAAATGGAGGTAATGCTCCATTCCCTCTGGGATCTGGTGAGACTTACAGACAATGCCATTGGGGTTTTTATATAGATATTCTTGTATTTATTATATACATGCAAACCTGTTTTATGGACGATGATTGGACCTATCAAATAACCATACCAAGACATGATTTTGGTAACTTCCCCAAAAGAGATTTAGGTAACACAAGGTATTTATGCACTTCATGGACTACCAAAACTTGAGTTGTTACTTTAAAGGAGGTTTTGAGGAAATGAAGTCTGTTCATCTACATCCTGGCTCCAATCATGGCAAAACAGGACTGCATCCGGCACCCTTTCTCTGGAGGGAGTTCAGTTCCTTGCCAGGATCAGAAGTCTCTGGGTACCGAGCAAGCCCAATCCCTGCCTGAGTGGCCCTCCTCCCCAGCACAGCTCCCTGACCCGCACCTATTCCGTGGGTCACCAAAGAGCTCAGAGTGGCAGGTGCCAAACCAATGGGGATGTAGCCACAAAGGGACCCAGGGAAGAGAGGACAGGGCAACGACAGCGGAATTGGGTCCTCATGGGCCTGTGCAAACGGAGGAATGCAACACAGGAAACCCAGAGGCTCTGGGACTTGTTACGACTGTGCTAGGGCTCTCCTAACAACTGGTGCTTCCAGCAACCGAAATGTGTTGTCTCACAGCTGTAGAGGCCAGAATTCTGTAATCAGGGTGTTGCCGGAGCTATGCTCCCTTCTCCCCAAAGGTCCCAGGGAGAATCCTTCCTGGCCCCTTCCAGCTCCGGGTGGCCCTCTGCATTCCTTGGCTTATGGCCACATCACTCCAGGCCCTGCCTCTGTCTTCACACGGCCTCTTCTTCATGCCTCTCTGCATCTCATCTTCAGAGGACACCAGTCCCTGGACTTAGGGCCCCCTCTACATCCAGGCTGATCCCATCTGGAGATCCTTAACTAATTGTCATTACTTAACTAATCTGTGAAGCCCCTATATTTTAGTTAAGGTCACATTCTGAGGTTCCAAGTAGACATGACTTTTGCAGGGATGCTATTCAGCCCCCTATACAGGACCTTCCTACTTATGTCACCCCCAGCTTGAAGTGCATGCTTGGTGTCACTGGTTTTCTCCCCTGTCATGTGGACAGTAATGGGCCCTGGCCTGCCTCTGGCTTGGTCAGGGCTCCAGTGAATTTACGAAGTGGAACAATTTGAAAAGTTGCAAGGGTTTATACAGATGAAGCAATAAAATGGTTTGCATGCATTGATTTTACCTGCATCCCCACCCAGCCCTGCCCTTACCCCCATGCCCCAAACTGCATCCCCTTCCACAGGCCACATCCCTGCCTCAGGGGCCACCACACCACCTGGGCACATATGTCAGTGCTTTCTGCAAACCCAGGGACTTTCCAGGCACCAGCAGCACATGGATGGGAGCTCATTTCTACATAGGACATGCAGCCTGGTTTCCACTGGGCCCAGCCTGATTTCTTTCATACTTTGGGGCATGCAAGTCCAGGCTGGTTTTCCATGATGGAGAACTTCCTGCTTCCCTTTTCCTTCCAGAGCCCAGCACTCAGCTGGGCCAGGAAGCCAAACGTAATCCCCAGCTCTGCCCGGAGACTGGTGCCTCTGGGTGTCCAGAGCTGACCCACCTCCATCCACAGAGGCCTATCCTACCCTAGCCACCTAGGCAATCCCAGCCGAGTGACACGGGGCCTTCTCTCCTGTCCCCCCAGACCCTGCTTCGCGATGGCAAGCGTGAGAGCATTGTGAGCACCCTCTTCATCTCCCCTGGGGATGTGGAGAATGGGCAGAGCATCGTGTGCCGGGCCACCAACAAAGCCATCCCTGGAGGGAAGGAGACCTCGGTCACCATCGACATCCAGCGTGAGTACTGACCTGGCCCAGGCGGTCAGGCCAGGCCCAGAGCAGGCCCAGCTCTCCCTGCCCAGAGCACAGGTTGGGGGATGGAGCCGGGCCTGGACAACCTGCTCACCAGAGCCCCCCCACCCCCTGCCAGCTTCGTCAGGCCGCTCCTGTAGGAGGTAGAATGTCCATGTCAACATCACTATCAGCCCCTCGCCCTGCTGGCCTGGCCAGGTGGCCCCTCACCCTCCCTTGCAGAGGAAGCCAGAGCAGAGAAGCCGGGAGCTGAAGGGTACTCAGGGCTCCAGGGTGGGTGGGCGGCCCTGCACGCTGTAGAGGGTACATAGGGGCTCCCTCATGGAAGTGACCATCAAGGACAGAAGACAAGGAGGATGAGTAGTATCTCATTTAATCTTTACAACAACCATTTGGAGAAGGTATGACTGTGACCCCCATCTGGGGAAACTGAGGCACCCAAAGGTTGATTATCTTGCCCAAGGTCACACAAGTCTCAAATGGAGGCAGCCTCGCTCTCCACAGCCCACTCTGGCAACCCCTCCTCTATGTTTGCACACAGTAGGCCCTCAGAGAGTGTCGGTTTTTATGATTAAAGCTAACAAGAATAATTCCTTAAAGCTCCACTGGCATCATGTTCCAAAAGTCACCTAAACAGAATCCTCAAAGTCTCCTAAAGCCCCTCTAAAGTGCCCCCAAAGTTCCCCTAAAGTGCCTGACTGCCCCAGAAAACAAGAAAGAACTCAGCAAGGTGGCCCAGTGGCCTTCCTCTCGGCATCGGACTAGTTTAGGCTGAAGTATCAGCCCCCAAAAGCGGGCTTTCCTTCTGTTAAGTCCCACCCCTGCCAGGGAGCACGAGGCCACCACGTGCTGGTGGCTGCTGTGGTCATAGGCTGAATGGCAAGGCTAGCACCTTAGACTGGCATTTATTACCTCCTTATTATTTTATTCATTTTAAGTCAAATTCCTTTAAAAAAGCACTCCCAACAGCCCTGGCTCATCGAAGGCTTTAGATTCTGTGCTCTGCATGGCCCTCCAGGAATCTGGAGTGCGGAGGGGCTGTGGCCTAGGGTTTCCAGAGCCCACCCTGGGAGCCAGCAAGCAGCAGTGCCCACTCAGTGTCCAGAATCCCAGCAAAAGCCATTGATTCCAGAGAACAGAAGGAACAGGTGCAGTCCTCTGGTAGGCTCCCGCTAGACACCCAGACGCGGCAGCCGAGCTCCTGGGGCAGGCCCTGCCTGCACTGTGCTCCGCAGCTGCCGGCCCCCTCCCCTCTGCACCGAGGGCAGCAGCCTTCCACCGCTCATGCCAGGGAAGCCCGGAACTGCCGGGCTCTTCCCAGGCCTAGGATCAAGGTCATGCAGGGCAGCGCTTGCTCTGAGGATCCTGTAAGGACAGGGGCGCCCTGAGAGGGATGTCTCCCTCCCCTGGCCATACCAGGCCCTGGCTCTCCACATCCCCCCGCCTCTTCTGTGCAGCAGCTGTGACGTAGAGCAGTAGGCCCAGCTCCTGAGAGAAGCAAGATGCTGCGGCGGCAGGTAGCCCAGCATCCGAAGGGCTCCGCCACCCATGGGCTGTGCAGGCCTAAGCTCATCATTTCACTTCGGTGACTCCAGTTCCTTGTCTAACGTGCCCAAATGACAACCAAGGTCTCTTCTTACCCTGGACGGGCCATGAATCAGCTCTCTCCAAACGCAAGCCAAATCTGGGAGGAGTGAGGGTGGGAGACACAGGCACGAAGCCTCCCACTGCCAGTTGTGGCCGCTGCCCAGCCCGCACTGTGCCCCCACCAGTCCCCAGCAGGTCCCAAGGCCTATGCCAGCCACAGAATCCCATGCAAAAGAAACCACCTGGCCAGCTCCCCGGAGCAGCGCCTGGGCCCTGGCCGGGAGAGCCCCAGAGGAAGCTGGGCTTCTGCTCCGGGCCATTATCCAGCACACCAGGAGAACCTCTCCTGTCAACAAGAAACCATCAGCATAACAACAGCCAACCGACAATTATAAGACAGGCCTCTAAATGCACTGTAAGAAGGTCAGTTACCAGGGCACACAGGCAATAGCCTAGGTCGGAGGAGGCCAGCCTGGCCAGGTCTCCGGGCCCTTGCCAGCTTTCTTTCCAAGGACATCTCAGCCACATGAGGAGGGAAGCATCAGGAATGAGGACGGAGGGAGGCTGAGAACCCAGTCGCCCGGTTTCCTGTTCCTACACTGGCCCCATCTGAGGCAATGCAGGGTCACGGTTCAGGACACAGCATTCTCCTGTTTGAACCCTGGCTCTGCCACCTACCGAATGATGTTGACCTGGTTATTTAACGTCTTTGTGCCTCAGTTTCCCCATCTGTACTTGGAAGTAACGATGCTTACCTCATAGGGTGGCTGTGGGGATCAAATCAAATCATTCAGGTGATGTCCCTAGCACCTTACATGGCACACAGCGCTGAGCACCTGCTGGTCATGTTACTATGCATGGTTGCAGGCGTGTGGCTACCCCTCTCCCAGTGTCCCCGCAGTCCTAACAGGGAAGGTCCCATACGGTTGCCCCCCTCCTGAAGGTGCGTGCATGTGTCTGCCAAGCAGAAGCACACACTCCCGCCCCTCCTCACTCCCCCTCCTTCCTCCTCCATTGACTCATTTGTTCATTCCATAAGCGTCCAACTGTTTACCATGGACACCATGGGCTGGATCAGAGCCGCCTTTGCAAACCTGCTCATTTTCTCAGTCAACCAAGAAGCATCCGAACTCAGCAAAAGCACATTTGTTGTTTGTTTCCCTTGGTCTTTATATGTTACCCAACGGAAGACAAAGCCCCCAGATTGAGTAATGGGCGAGAAAGCTTAACACCCCCAAAGTCTCACTGCATCTGGACTCTGCATCCAGCTGCCAAGTTTCAAATGAATATGCTATAAAATCACTGAGTCATGGAGCTTCTCTCTTCCTCCCCTCCTCTGTGCAATACTTCCCCTGAACACACACACACACACACACAGGTTGCTGATGGAAACACTAACAGACTCTCAGCTGTAACATCTGTTCAGTATCATCTCAGTTCCACCAGCTACATCAAATCTGCCCTCCTGCAAGTTATGCAGCCGACATCACAAGTGGGATTAAAATCATGTTTAATAGTTGGATATGACATAAACTATTTATACCTCTGGAGCCTGGTAGACTCCAGAAATTTCATATCCTGCGTATCCAGAGGAGAAGGGTGGAGAGAGGGACACGGCAGCCCTGGGGCTCGGGAGGAGGTGCAGGGGAGACTGGCGCACCGGGAAGCCTACTGGGGGCTGTTCTCCTGAGGCCCATCAGGGAAGGCTGGGTCCCAGGAAGTTGCAAAGAGGTGAGGGAGCTGCAGGAGGCAGGCGCCCACAGGGTAAACTGAGAATGGTAGGTATGTGACGGGGAGGGGGCAGTCCAGCAGCAAGAAAGTTCCCCCAACAATGTGTGCTCCATCTCGCTACCCCTAAAGACTCACCCCCTTATAAAGGACACCAGGTGGGGATGGACTTCCTAGAGGCACCCCTCAAGTTTCAGCTGAACTGGCCCCATCACCTCCTCAAACAAGAGTTGGATTGAGACACTCCGCTCCACCTCCCAGCATTGAATGTCACAACGTGAGGCCCAGCCAGCCAGCGTTCAGATCAGATGACAATTACCAACTTCCTATGCCTCGGGGCGTGCTTCTCCGCCCCCAGCGGGTGCAAGCTCCTCCTGGGTCTCCACATCTCTAGGGGTGGTGCCATGGAGCACAAGCGTCCCCCCGAGCGTCCCACCTATGCCCAGCTTGGCTGGCTAGCCCTCTGTGGAAAGAGGCCAGGAGCTCCTGATCAGACTGGCCTGGAAGCTGGTGGGCGGCAGCTGGGAAAAGGCTTCAGGGTTCTGGGGGCCTCAGCTCTCCTGGGAGGTGGAGGAGCTCTCCCCTGGCTAGTTTTTACCACACTCATCTTTGTGACCACTTGAATGGCACTTTAGAATGGACACAGAGAGCCTTGAAGTCCCTGTCACTTCGCTTGTAGTTCTCCATGAACAGGCAGGCACGCTGCTGCTCCAAGAGCAGATGCTCTCAGGACCGCAGTCCCCGTCTGGAACTGGGGGACAATGTAGGGAGACCAGGCTCCCCAGCCGGCCACCTGCTACTCAGCAAGCAGAGTTCTCTGCCCTGCATCCTAACAAGCTGTCTGAAGAGACCAGCACAGCCCTGTGGGTCACCCTCCAGGCCCTAGCCATGTGCCCAGCTCTGGGCAGGCAGGCCTGACCCAGCTTGAGCACCAGCAGGGCAAAGAGGGGCCAAGGGGTCAAGAAATCCCAAGTCTGGGGTGGGCTAGGGTTGGCCCCTTGCTGGGGTGGGGTGCTACGCACATGACCGTCTGAGAGCCCCACCTGTCACCTCAACCAGAACCTTGGGCCGGGCAGCCTGGAGCCCTGTGCCCCTCATGCACCCAGAAGGACAGCATTTCTCTCAATGGTCTCTGAGAAACTGGCATCTTTACTTCTTTTTTGAAAATGGACTGAGCCCCTAGAAAGTCCTTATGACCTGCCAGCAATCTGCTTACTGATGAGGACTGGCCGGAAGATGCGGCCCTGGGCCCTGGCTGCGCCACAGGGACCAAGCCGCCCTCTTAATTCAGCCCAGAACTGAGCTCCAGCCAGACCTGCAGGCCGCAGCGAGGAGGGATAAGCACAGGTCTCTATTCCCATCTTTATATGTCTCGGTGACTTTCTCCCTGTCTCTTCCCTCTGTTCCTTATTACATTTGTTTGTCTTTCTCCCTAATACCCTGTCCTTTTCTGTTTCCATCTGCTTGGTCTCCCTTGGTTTTTTTTGCCTTTAGACTGATGTCTTTGATTACACATCTCTATGTATGTCAGTCTCTGTGTCTCTCTCTGTTCTCTTTTTCTCTCCCTCTCTCTCATCTCCATGTCTCTCTTCTATGCAGGCACCCTCCACTGCCTGCTATCCCCTCTGTGTCTCTCTCTGTCTCTGTTTCCTGTCTCCCTGACTCTCTTTCCCTCCCTGGCTTCCTGTCTTCTCACCTCCCACCACTTAGCACTTCAGAGCTTGGCCTCTCATCACGTTGAATAAGAAAGACAGCCCAGCCTGGGGAGCTGAGGGCTGGGTGACACCAGTCAGGACTCCACAGAGATGATTAGGCTGATGAAAGGGTACAAATGCCACTTTCAAGTTAACAGAGCACCAGAGCCTTTACACAAAGAGATGGAAAATACACATTTCAAAACAGAGAGTTTGTCATTAAATGGGGTTTAGTGTCCACACGCTCCTGTACCCCCTGCTCCCCTCTGCCCCATCTCCTTTCTGAAGTGGTTTGTTCTCCCTAAAAACTGCTAGACGGACAGCATGCTCCTGGGTGCCTCAGGCAGCCAGGGTGTCCTGGCCAGCTGTTCACTCAAACACCAGGCCTTGGCTGCACAGCTAGAGCTGCCCCCCCACCCAGGACCGCTAAAGCAGGCTCCTCCAGGGAAGGAGGGGATCCCCTGCAGAGGCCCCCAGCTTTCTGGAGACCACCAGGGCCGTGGCTGCTCTGTGGGTCCCTGGGTACTAGACTGTCTGGCCTTTACCCTCCATGTCACGTAGGGGACCTTTCTGCCCCGTTCTTCCCCAAAACCATGGACACAGCAACCCAGCCTCAAAGGAATCTCCTCCCTCTGCAGATCCTCCACTTGTCAACCTGTCGGTGGAACCACAGCCAGTTCTGGAGGACAACGTCGTCACGTTCCACTGCTCTGCAAAGGCCAACCCAGCTGTCACCCAATACAGGTAAGAGACCTGCTGAGGAGGCCTGGCCTGGCTGCTGGACCCCTCCACACCCCTGCCTACCACGTGGGTGTCTCCTGTGGTCCTGGGCATGCAGCACAGTGCTTGGTCCACCAGGGTGCCCAAGACCTCCCCTTCCCCAACCACACGCATCCGCCCTGGCAGTGAGGCCTCCTTCCCCCACCTCCTCTGGTCCACCCTGGGCCAGGCCGCCCCCTCCTTCCTTCCTTCCTTTCTTCCTGCACACACACACTTCCCTCCCACTGGAAGCAGTAGGTATCACCTTTTCAGTTTGAGTAGCTTGTTAATCTCTTATTTCTGGAAAGGTGGAGAGGGGCTCAGAAAAAAAGGGAAAAACAAACAAACAGAAGAACCAGTAAGATCAGAACCTGGATTCTAGCTGTGTGCCCACCAAACCATTAGCCTGGATAGGACAGGGTCTCCGGGGCAGCCTGCACTGTCCAGCGGGTCCCCAGCATCATTCAGACCCACAGACCCTGTGCATCTCTTGCTCAAACACGGATAAAAACATTACTGTTTCTTACATGCTTGTCCTTCCCTGCTGACCGAGACTCCTGAAGGCAGGAACTCCACATGAGTCATTACTGGCACTCAGCACGGAGCGTGGTGCATGCCATGTACTAGGCACACCATGGTGGGGTGGGCTGGCTGGGCACACACACACAGAGCTGCTCCTCTGGGCACCTGTGTGCTACCTCTGCCCAAGAGTTCCAGTGACCTCACAAGTGCTCCAGGGCAGACGCAGACCCTCACCTCTTCTAGATGCCCTGTGGAACTTGCCACGGCCCTAACTCAGCCCTGTCCTTCCCCGCCAGCCCAGACTAGATGGTGGAGCACAGAGCATTGCTTCCACGATCAAGATGGGTTACTAACCTCCACTCGCAGCCAGTGCCAGGGATACTAATGGTCCCAGACTTGGTACTAAGCCGGCCAGTGGGAGTGGAGGACAGGGGAGATGACAGGAAATGCAGCCCGAGGACGGGACGAGAGGAAATGAGCCAGAGACAGCCAGAGATTCAGGTTGGACATAAGGAGGAGTCCCCCCCCGCACCCCCCGCAGTGCAGATAATTAAACAGCACTGGAACCAAAAACCCAGCAAAGGCATCGAGTCTTTATCCTTGAGGATATTCTAAAATAGGATGAAAACCCATCTGTCCTGCCCAATTTAACCATTCACCTAGCTAAAAAAGCAGGAGAAAGATTAGAGGACCCGCAGGCTCCCTGGAGTCATGCAGCCCTGATGTCCGGGCAGGTCTGGTTTGGCTAGGATCTGGCATCTGTCTGGAACTGACTAAAGATGCAGAAAGAAGTACCCAGAGAGACTCCCTCTCTCTAGCCTGTGGTTTTTCCCCCCATCTCCAGGCCCCCTGGAGGCACAGTCACAAGAGACCCCTCCCATTCCAGGGGGAGCTGCGAAGTATGCGCTCCCTGCAGATAGATGTTCACTGGCCGTGTTTTGTCACCTTCCCTCGTGGCCTCTGATCTGCCCAAGGCCCTGAAAACACCCCTGAGCCCAGAGAGGATCAGGCTCCCTCCAGGTCTCCAGAGACCCTTGGGGACCGGCAGCCGCTAGGAAAATTCAGGAGAGCTGGGTGACCTGGGAAGGAAGGGGGAACAGGGGCCATGGAGATGAGGTGGCTGGTGCCCACCCACATGGGCTCAGCCCCGTGGCATCAGTGAGGCCTCACCCCAGAGGAGTATTTGCTTCTTTACTTGCATTTGTCTTGATAGCTTCCTCCCTGTTCCACTAAGGGGCTGTGATCTCAGAAAGCAAAGATATGCCATCCTCCACCCCAGCACCCAGAAAGGGGACATGGGGTGGGCATGGAACACACCCAGCTGGACTCAACTGTCACTCCAGATGCCCCTCAGGACCAGGAGCCCAAGGCAAGCACAGCAGGCCTGCACACACCTTCCTGGTCCTCTCCTTGGAAGCCCTCTCAGTGCTGGGCACAGGAGGGGAGGGGACCCTGCACGGCCAGACAGGGACAGCCTGTCAGCTGGGACATGCCAGACCTCCTGATTCTGTGATATAAAGAATTAATCCTCTTACATTTGCTCAGGCCAAATCAGACATTGATTGGGAGAGGCCTAATCTAATGTCTTTTTGGAGGGCCTGGGAGAGGTGGTGCAAGCATCAGTGGGGGCAGGGGTAGGCGGGTGGTGGGAGGGCGAAGGGCCCCAGACGGAGAGGGGAGAAAGCCCTGCAGTGATGGGAAGGCCCATCAGAACCAGCTCACCGGGCTCCAGCCCACCCCCCGCCCCAAAATGTGGTACCATAAGCAGCCAGGAGTGCTCCTGGGCAGAGCAGGAGAGGTGCCCCTGCCTCCTCCTGGCCAACCAGCTGCCAGCCTCTCCCAGCATCCCACCGCTTGACCCCTGCTTCAGCAGGGTGGACAGAGCAGAGGTTGGACACAGATTCCCCAGCTGTGTGCCTGGGGCTGAATCCATGGGCCTCAGGCAGGGGCTGTGCCTGGCTGTTAAGTCTGGTCATTAAATTAAAGTTGGAAATTGAAATGATTCATGAATAACTCATAATGGTTTGTTGGGAAGCTCCTTAAGCTCTCAGGGAGCTATGGTTTGCTCTGTTGTTAAACTATAATTGTTATTATTAATCATGTTCTTAATAATTACCCAATATTAACTCACGACAGTAACCACACGGTGCCAGCCTGGGCGCTGCACGTGACGGTGGGAGATGGCCGCCTCTTGGGGCTGGATGGCCGGCCAGGCAGGAGGCAGTGCCCTGCGGAACCAGGAGAGGCTCCGGGAACCAGAGGAAGGGGAGAAAAGGGCAGGGGCAGCAGGGAGGCTGTGGTTACAGGGTAACAAGAAGACAAACACCCTCAAATAGGTTTGAACTACAGGTCAAGTCAAGCAGGAGGAGCCTGGGTGGAAGTTTCATCCAAATGGGATTAAACCAGGGGAAGCTACGAACTCTCTGCATGAGGATCTGGAAGGAACAGCCCCGCCCTTGGACATGAAGCACCCCGGGGGCTCCCAGCCCCACCCCACCGAGAGCAGGCTGCCAGTCATCACTGAGCCAACACAGCCCCAGGGCCAGGACCCAGACAAGCCAGCTACTCCCTCTCCCCTCCCTTGGGTCCCATGGCCGGGCAAATAGGTGGCTCAGCCTTCTTCCTGCCTCCCTGACCAAACCAGGGCCGAAGGAGCTGAGGCCGCTGAGGAGCGAAGCCAGGGTGGCTGGGTGGGAAAAAGAGCACATGCCATCCATCCCTGGGAGGGGAGCTGAAAGGGCTCTCAGGAAGAAAGCCCGCCCCAGGGGCAGAGTCAGGACAGGGATGCTGAGAGAGCTGGCCAAGTGGGTGGGGGGCTGTCAGGACTGCTGGCTAACAGCTCTCCTACAGCTTCGCACCTTTGTCTGGAAATGGAGCTTCCGGGAGGCGCATTCCTCTGCATGTATGTGCGCGCATAGGCAGGTGCCTGCACGTTTGGGTGCATGCCATTAGTCGGCCTCTAAGGTCATGGACTCGGCCTCCTTCTCTTCCAACATGGCCTGGGATGGGGCCCCCAGGAGAGCTCCAAGCAAGAGAGGCAACCTGCCTAGGGACCAGCAGTTGGGTGATCCATTGCCTAGCCAGCCAGATGGGCTGACAGACTGAGTGGTCAACCCACCTCCCTCCAGAATAACCTGCTTCTCCAGTGCCGCTCATTGCCTGGTGACCCCTGGGCCAAAGCGCACCACCTCCATCACCGACTCTTCCCCTGGGCCCAGAAGTAACTCCTTTGTGCAGGTTCCCCCAAAGGACCTCAGGGGGCTTGGGGGGCTGCCCCATGTCACTCTGTGCCAGGCTTTGTTTTCCTGTGGGGTGGAAGTTTCCAGCTCCCAGAGGAAGTTCCCCTGGGCAGGAGAGACACCCTTGCCAGTGGAGGTCCACACCAGCCCAAGGGGCCTGTGTTGCAGGTGGGCCAAGCGGGGTCAGATCATCAAGGAAGCATCTGGAGAAGTGTATCGGACCACGGTGGACTACACCTACTTCTCAGAGCCTATCTCCTGTGAGGTGACCAACGCCCTGGGCAGCACCAATATCAGCCGCACAGTCGACGTCTACTGTGAGTGCAGCTGCGCGGGAGCTGCCCCAGGCAGGGGGCGTACGTTGGTCTCGGCTCAGGGCTGGAGGGATCATTGCCGGACTCATCACACACAACATCACAGTGCCTCACAAGCTCACAGATGCTGTGCACTTAGCAAAAACCTTCCTCGTGTGGTGTTTGGTGTTTACCTTGACCCTCATAACAACCCAGGGAGGCAGGAATTATACCCAGGGGAGGGGATGGAGTCCTGAGGCCATGCAGCGAGGACGCAACAGAATGAGAACGGAGACCAGGCTCAGAAATCCACTGCCCGACCACACACCGCCCACCGCCCACCTCCCACCAGGGGCCCTGGTGGCCTTGCGAGGACCCGTCAGAGCTGGGCTAGCTGGATGTGTTCATAGCAATAAACATTAGCTCATCCACTGTCCTTCACAGTTTTAAGAGCACTTTTACAGGCTTTTAAAAATATCTGACCCCTCCCCTTGCTGCCAACAGCCTCAACAGACAGTGCTATCAACCCCTTTTTACATCAGGGGACTAATCCCCATCTCCTGCCCTAGATTTCGTGCTCTCGTACCCCAAGAAAGCAGCTCTCTGCAGACCCTCCCATCACTGCAACTCACATTCCACTGTTGTTCCCACCCTGGGGACCAAGGCTGGGTCTGCAGGAGGCTCTGGTTACCAGGGTGTGTAGAGGAAGGTAGAGAGGCGCCTCTGTTAACACTCACCGACACTGAGCAGGGTTGCCTATCGCAGCAAAAGCAGGTCACCAAACAGACTGGTGGGGCAGCGCTGGAGGAGAGGATAACCTCAGGGCAGAGGGGGTAGAACACCACACAGAGGCCTTGCCTCCTCCACTGCCCAGCTCAGAGCCCCCCAAAGGGTCCTGGGAGGACGAGGGGAGCTGGGCCAGGTGCACAGATACCTTGATCCCAGGCCACAAACTGAGGCCTGGAGGAGGTGGGCTGATACATAAAGATCCAAGACCTCTGCAGCAGGAGGAAGGTCCCTCTGCCCACACAGCAGGACAGAGGGAAGGGGACGGGCCAGGAGGGAATGGGGTCGGAGCACCTTGTGCCCACTGCTGGTGCTGGTGCCCACTCTGGAAGTGGGCCTGATGGGGGCTGCGCTGCTGGGAGTTCTTCTTCTTACTTCCTGAGTCCTACTTCCTGACCCCAGGCATACACCACAGGTAGAGGACTGAAATGTAAGGGAAGGGCTGGCACGGGTACCCCGATGCCCTGCTTCCTCCAGCTGGGGCGGGGGCAGGGGAGGCAGCATCAAGGAGGTCCCCAGAGCTTGCGGCCCACCAGCACCACCGTCTCTTCCTCCCTGCCCTCACAGTTGGGCCTAGGATGACCACGGAGCCCCAGTCGCTGCTCGTGGATCTGGGCTCGGATGCCATCTTCAACTGCGCCTGGACAGGCAACCCGTCCCTGACCATCGTCTGGATGAAGCGGGGCTCTGGCGTGGTGAGTCTGCAGCACAGACCCCAGAGGGCCTCTGGCAGGGGTGGAGGGACCTCGGGCCAGGAAGGAACTGCCTTCCAGGGCCCTGCTCACTCTTAAATTGGGCACATGGGCCTCACAGCGTAAGCTGAAGGAAGAAGGACCACAGAAAGAAGAGAGAGAGCCCCAGGCACCCACATGTCCCCTTGGCCCTAAACGCTTAGCCATTGCAGTTTGCCTATCGCAGCAAAAGCAGGAGGTCACCAAACTCTGGGAGTGGAAATTCACTAGCAATGCTTTGCAACTTTTCCCAAAAAGCTAAGTACCCTTTAGCTTATGAGTTAAGCTTGGCTTTCTTCCTTTGTTCCTCTTAAAATGCGTGCGTTCTTTAAGAGTGCGTGAGAGATTGTCAGAGGTCTCTCCCCTCAGGAGAACCAGCCAGACCCCTGCGCAGGGAAGCAGGCAGAGGGCAGAAGGAGGCTGACCTCTGTGCGACCCACTCTGTGCCAGATACGGCACCACCCTGTGCACAGCACGGTCCCCATTACCACTGCAGGGGTAAGGGAACAGCATCAGAGAAGACAAGGAACTGCCCACAGCCATACAGGTAGTGAGCCCCAGAGCCAGGATTCGAACTCAGAGCTAGCTAAATGCCACGGTCTGTTTTCTTTTCATCATCCCAAACTGTATCCTAAAGGGACAGTGAGAATGACTCAGAAAAGGCAAGTCCAGGTACCCTTCAAAGAAGTTAAACTGTAGGATAATTTCTCCTATGGCCAGCCTGGCACTGGTTGGTAGGCAGCCCCTCCCCGTCTGAGAAACCCTGGGACGCCCACCAGGGTGTCCCCCCACTCCTCCCACTCAGCCCTCCTCCATACACCCACCCTGCAGGGCTGCAGCATCTTCAGCTGCAAAGGGGCCTCTGGGCTGTGGGCTCCCCCTAACAGCTCACCCCACACACTGTGCACTGGAACATTCTGCCTCCTGTCCCACTGGCTGTCACTGAAATGCTGGAGATGGTGTCACTCTCCACCAGGCCTGCCTCTCAGTCTTTCTGAGTGAGAGGTAGAAAGCTGCCCCTACCTTTCGTGTCTGATCTCCCCACTTCTCCTAGGTCCTGAGCAATGAAAAGATCCTGACCCTCAAAACCGTCCGCCAGGAGGATGCTGGGAAGTATGTGTGCCGAGCCGTGGTGCCCCGGGTGGGAGCCGGGGAGCGAGAGGTGACCCTCACTGTCAATGGTAAGAACCCCCTCTTGCCGGGGCAGGGTGTGGGGGGTGCTGGCAAGGGACCCAAGGCGTCTTGGTCCCAGGCATTGTCCCTAAGGGGTTGCTGTTGGTTCTGGGCCTTGCTACCACCTCCAACTATGGGTCCACAGCAACTGTGTCCACCTCTGTAAGTCTGTCGGAGACCAGCCCTGAGGCTTTCTGGCCACCTCCCTCCTTCTTGTTACTTCTAAGGGGTTGCAACCCTAGGAGTAATAGCTGATGAATTTTATCCTGGCCAGGAAAAACGGTCAGAGGGTCACTGGACAGCCAACACAGATCTCATTCCTACCCTTTGACCTTGACCTTGGCCCCGATGGAGAACTTAGGGGAGCATTTCCGCAACTCCTGGTCAGTCTCTTCCCATTGCATTAGCTCTGTTCAATTGGGAATACCGCTCACCATCCCCACAAGACCCAGCATCCAGGAGGTCCCCTTGAGGGCAGGGACTGTGTCTTATATATAATAGAATCATTACAGCAGGAGAGTGTTTTCATGTCTCTCCACGAACATAGAGCAAGTTACCTAGATGACTATTACATGAAACATTTAGGGGACGGGGCATCAGACCAGGCCTGGACGACGGGATGTAGAAGGTCACAGAGAGGCTGGCACCTGGCTCAGGTCAGACAAGAAGGCTGTGGTACCAGGACATAAATTCGATGTCCCTGCTGTGACACACACTTGGGCCACGGTTGGCAACAAAAGCTGCAGGCCTGATAGGGTGAGAGACACTGCCAGCAAACCCCCTGCCATTTGCAAGCTCCTTCCTCCTCTGGGTTTCAGCTCCCCTTTGAGAGCCCTCTGCTTCCACATGGTCTGCCTCGGGTCAAAGGCCAGAGGCGCTGAGCCCCTGCAAGAACTGAGCCACAGAACTGTGTCCATAGGGCTTCTGGGCCCCAGCCCCAGAGCAGGGCCCTAGAAAAGGGCTGAGCCAATTTCAAGTAACTTGCCCATTCAGCTTCATCTTGACCCACGGGCAACCTCCCCTGCTCTCCCTTCTTCTAGAAAATTAAGCCAGCTTGGGGCTTCCTCAGCCATCTCCCTCTGCTGTCCCCATTAGCCAGCACCCCGCCATCTATTTCTTCCCCCCAGCCAAGAGTGGTGGCGGCCTCAGAGGAAGGGTGAAGCTACTCAGACCCCAGGGCACTACCAGGCCACCTGTGCTGGGCAGAGCCCTGACTTGGTTGCCTTCCTGCCTTTCCCATGTGTCCCCAGGACGCCACCAATAAATTGGCACTGCAAGGCTAAAAATAACAGCATCTGATCGCGCCTCTGTGTATCCATGGCAACAGAGGCTGCAGCCTTTTCCTGCCGCTCCAGTGTCTGACACTCGGTGCAGGAGCCAGGCCCTGGTAGAATCAGCGGCCTCCCCTGGTGCCTGCCCCGAGAGAGTTCTGGGGGATCTCACCTCTGCTGGCCTCGTGAGCAGCCGAGCTGGGGCCCATCAGACTCACACATGGCCTCCATGGTCCCTAAGCCTGGCGCTTTTAAACAAGCATCTTCTTTTCCAGGGAAAAAGGGGTCGATAAAGTAGGGACTGACATTCTGTTGTCACTTCAGACACTTAGACATATTAGGCATTTCCCAGCAGGACTTTAAAATGGATTCTTGAGGAGGGAATGCACACCCCGGAGGGACATTTCTCTTGGATGGGACACCCCAGCCCGGACCTTGGTGCCAACCCTCCAGGGTCCATGTTTCCATCCCCTCCCTCTGCCTCCAATCCTTCCGGCGCAAGCACCCCTAGGTTGCCAGAACTAGGGTGATCTCACCTGAGGCCGGGGCTGGATTAAATGGCCCAGGGAGAGGTGGCTGCCAGCCCCAGCATGCATGGGGGTGGAACTGTCTGTGCCGGCTCTGGAGAGCAGATGGAGGTATGGTGAAGCCTTTGGGAAGGGATCTGAGCTCGGCTGAAGAGACCTGATGTTCTGGAAAGGATCCAGAATGAGATGGGGTTCTCATCAAAACAAATTCCAGGGGTGGGTGACTGCTGGCCATCATGGGGAACAACCGCACAGACCTCACCTGATTCTGCTCGGAGCCAGACCATCAGGAAGGGCAAGATAAACCGCTGCACTCTAATGGCCCCACCCCATCCGCTGCCTTCCTGAGTTCTGCTTTCTTTTAAGAAGTCTTGAAACCCATTTGCCTGATTGCTTTTAGGATGCCAAGAACCCCCAGGGAATTCCCAGCTCCAGGGAATTGAAGGGGAAAAGGTTTAATGATATCATCACTTTCAACCGAGCATCAAAACACAGTACCTTCCAAGCTCCTAAAACACCAGGCCCTCCTGCGTTCCGGCCAAAGGCTTCTTGCAGCTAAGGTATCTAAGAGGGCACCTAGGGCTCGGCCCACTCTTACAGCCAGTTTAAGGCAGTAGCCCTCATCTTGAGAGTCCCCTACATTTGCTCCAAGCCATTTGCCATCCTAAACTCAGTAGAAGTCACCTGAGCTCTCCCAGTACCTTTTTATCCCCTTGGCTGAGAACTACTCATAGAAATGCAAATCTGTTTTAATTAAGGTGGCTAATAAACAGCAATTATGTTTGCAGCAATTTTTGTTTTGCTCCCAGCATAATTTTGTCTGTCCTCCAGATATTGCTCCACCTCCCTTTCCTGTTTTCTGCTACCTAAGCCCCAACCTTTACCCCAAGGAGTGCGAAAGAACACTGAGGTCTCCATCCCTATGCCCCCTGCAGGGGCCGGGCCCACCAGGGAGTCGGCTGAGCAAGCAGCTGAACTGGCCCCTCATCTGTCCCCATTTCACTGCCAGGTGCGCACACACGGGAGACTCAGCTTAGATAAAAAGCAGAACTGGAGAGGAAGTGCTGCTGGCCTTGAGGTTCCCGGTGGACATTCTAGGCTATCCCACGCAGTAAATGAACGGGATGCTCCCAGAGACATCCATCAACAGGTCACACACGCAGGGACTCACAGACTGGAGGGGATAACGCTGGGGTCGGAGCCGCGGTGTGTCTCACCTGGGCCGTCTGGGTGTGTATGTGGGGGCACGGCAGGCGACGAACTAGGGTATCTCCTGAGATATGTGAGATGCAGGCTGTGAACGAAGCCAGCACATTCCATCTATGCAGGGTGATGCATGCCCCGTGGTAGAGGAACATCACCTTTTATTTCTTTGCCGCCCTGGCTTCCCCCGGCCTGCGGAGAACATCCGGTTTGTTAGGCAAGCGCGCCCTCTACTGGAGACGTGAGAAAATGGCTTGAAACTGAACAGCTGGCTAAGGCGGGGTGACATTACTTCGCAGAGGTGACATTACTTAGCGCCGGTATCCCTTCCTCCCCAACACCTCCCCCACTGCCTTCCCAGGTTTACCACCTCCTTCATACAGCTTCCCCCGGCAGCCAGAGACAACTGTTGTCTGTCCTCCAAAGTCGCTGAGCACGTCATCTGCCCCACTCACCACATCTGACAGTCACATTTATTGCAGTTATTTATGTCTCCTGGGCATTCGCTCATGATCCATTGAGAGGTTTAATTTATCTTTGAGTCCCCTGCCGTGCACTTTACCTTACACATGAAGGCCTTCCATAAATGTTTGCCGAATGACTGAACTAATAATGAATAAGCTTCTGAACCCGCCCAAGAGGGGCCCAGCCGGGACCTGCCCGTCCCGAATCTGTGATGCTGTCTCCCTAACAGGGCCGCCCATCATCTCCAGCACCCAGACCCAGCATGCTCTCCACGGGGAGAAGGGCCAGATCAAGTGCTTCATCCGGAGCACGCCGCCACCCGACCGAATCGTGAGTGGGCCGGGGTGGGAGGGGAGGCAAGGGGCAGTGCGCACACTCCGCAGCCCGCGGCAGAGCGAGCGCTGGGCCAGTTGGTGTCCGCCTCTCAGTTCGGTGGGGAAACCCAACCCTGCCCGTCTCACCTGAAAAGGCAAAACTCACAGGCAGCCTCCTTTCTCAGGACAGGCTGTGCTCCCAGGGTTCACCTACAAATGTAGTTGACTCCACTCTGCCGGCTCAGCTGTGTGCTAACGTTAATGGTTCCAGCTGAATCCTGCATCCCGGGAGCAGAGGGGCAGGTGAGGGTAACAGAAGGAAAAGATAAATAAGTTCCTCCCTTTCCTGGGTTCAGGGCCAGTCTCTGGCAAAATCCCAAACAGAGTGCAGTTTATAGTCAGCGAGCCCTTCTGTGCCTCCCGGAGCCCTCCTCTACCAGCCTCCACGGCCATGCAGAATCCTGCCCCGTATACCAAGCTTGCCCCTGTTAAAAGGATCATTCCATCATCCCTCCCTTCCTCAAAACTCATGCCAGCACTGCAGCTGAGACCTCCTGGAGGGTTCGTTCTCTCAGCAGCCCCCAGGCATTTGCGTCTGTAAAAGCAAGGGTCCTCCAACCACGTCCACCTGTTGCTTTCTTTTAAGAAGTCTTGAAACCCATTTGCCTGATTGCTTTTAGGATGCCAAGAACCCCCAGGGAATTCCCAGCTCCAGGGAATTGAAGGGGAAAAGGTTTAATGATATCATCACTTTCAACCGAGCATCAAAACACAGTACCTTCCAAGCTCCTAAAACACCAGGCCCTCCTGCGTTCCGGCCAAAGGCTTCTTGCAGCTAAGGTATCTAAGAGGGCACCTAGGGCTCGGCCCACTCTTACAGCCAGTTTAAGGCAGTAGCCCTCATCTTGAGAGTCCCCTACATTTGCTCCAAGCCATTTGCCATCCTAAACTCAGTAGAAGTCACCTGAGCTCTCCCAGTACCTTTTTATCCCCTTGGCTGAGAACTACTCATAGAAATGCAAATCTGTTTTAATTAAGGTGGCTAATAAACAGCAATTATGTTTGCAGCAATTTTTGTTTTGCTCCCAGCATAATTTTGTCTGTCCTCCAGATATTGCTCCACCTCCCTTTCCTGTTTTCTGCTACCTAAGCCCCAACCTTTACCCCAAGGAGTGCGAAAGAACACTGAGGTCTCCATCCCTATGCCCCCTGCAGGGGCCGGGCCCACCAGGGAGTCGGCTGAGCAAGCAGCTGAACTGGCCCCTCATCTGTCCCCATTTCACTGCCAGGTGCGCACACACGGGAGACTCAGCTTAGATAAAAAGCAGAACTGGAGAGGAAGTGCTGCTGGCCTTGAGGTTCCCGGTGGACATTCTAGGCTATCCCACGCAGTAAATGAACGGGATGCTCCCAGAGACATCCATCAACAGGTCACACACGCAGGGACTCACAGACTGGAGGGGATAACGCTGGGGTCGGAGCCGCGGTGTGTCTCACCTGGGCCGTCTGGGTGTGTATGTGGGGGCACGGCAGGCGACGAACTAGGGTATCTCCTGAGATATGTGAGATGCAGGCTGTGAACGAAGCCAGCACATTCCATCTATGCAGGGTGATGCATGCCCCGTGGTAGAGGAACATCACCTTTTATTTCTTTGCCGCCCTGGCTTCCCCCGGCCTGCGGAGAACATCCGGTTTGTTAGGCAAGCGCGCCCTCTACTGGAGACGTGAGAAAATGGCTTGAAACTGAACAGCTGGCTAAGGCGGGGTGACATTACTTCGCAGAGGTGACATTACTTAGCGCCGGTATCCCTTCCTCCCCAACACCTCCCCCACTGCCTTCCCAGGTTTACCACCTCCTTCATACAGCTTCCCCCGGCAGCCAGAGACAACTGTTGTCTGTCCTCCAAAGTCGCTGAGCACGTCATCTGCCCCACTCACCACATCTGACAGTCACATTTATTGCAGTTATTTATGTCTCCTGGGCATTCGCTCATGATCCATTGAGAGGTTTAATTTATCTTTGAGTCCCCTGCCGTGCACTTTACCTTACACATGAAGGCCTTCCATAAATGTTTGCCGAATGACTGAACTAATAATGAATAAGCTTCTGAACCCGCCCAAGAGGGGCCCAGCCGGGACCTGCCCGTCCCGAATCTGTGATGCTGTCTCCCTAACAGGGCCGCCCATCATCTCCAGCACCCAGACCCAGCATGCTCTCCACGGGGAGAAGGGCCAGATCAAGTGCTTCATCCGGAGCACGCCGCCACCCGACCGAATCGTGAGTGGGCCGGGGTGGGAGGGGAGGCAAGGGGCAGTGCGCACACTCCGCAGCCCGCGGCAGAGCGAGCGCTGGGCCAGTTGGTGTCCGCCTCTCAGTTCGGTGGGGAAACCCAACCCTGCCCGTCTCACCTGAAAAGGCAAAACTCACAGGCAGCCTCCTTTCTCAGGACAGGCTGTGCTCCCAGGGTTCACCTACAAATGTAGTTGACTCCACTCTGCCGGCTCAGCTGTGTGCTAACGTTAATGGTTCCAGCTGAATCCTGCATCCCGGGAGCAGAGGGGCAGGTGAGGGTAACAGAAGGAAAAGATAAATAAGTTCCTCCCTTTCCTGGGTTCAGGGCCAGTCTCTGGCAAAATCCCAAACAGAGTGCAGTTTATAGTCAGCGAGCCCTTCTGTGCCTCCCGGAGCCCTCCTCTACCAGCCTCCACGGCCATGCAGAATCCTGCCCCGTATACCAAGCTTGCCCCTGTTAAAAGGATCATTCCATCATCCCTCCCTTCCTCAAAACTCATGCCAGCACTGCAGCTGAGACCTCCTGGAGGGTTCGTTCTCTCAGCAGCCCCCAGGCATTTGCGTCTGTAAAAGCAAGGGTCCTCCAACCACGTCCACCTGAGACCGGTGGAAGCCCAGGCAAGAAAACCAAAAGAGGGGAGTGATTTCTTTTTTTATTTTTTAGCAATTATATATTTATGAAATGCTCACCATGGTAAGTGTAGTTACCATCTGTCACCATACAAGGTTACTACAGTAGTGTTGGTGAGATTCCTTACGCTGTACTTCCAGACCCGTGACTCGCCTACTTTGTAACTGGAAGTTTGTACCTCTTGTACTCCCTTCACCTATTTTGTCCATCCCTCCACACCCCCTCCCCTATGGCAACCACCAGTCTGCTCTCTGTGTTTATAAGTCTGTTTCTGTTTTGTTTGTTCATTTGCTTTCTAGATTCCACATATAAGTGAAGTCATGTGGAACTTCTCTTAATTCACTTAGCCTAATACCCAGTAGGTCCATCTATGGTGTCTCAAATGGCAAAATCTCATTCTTTCTGGGTGAGCATCCTCTAGCACTATTGGGGGCAGATGTTATGTTTAGTAATCCCCAATGCCTGGGACAGTCCTGTGAGGAGATGGCCCTGGAGTCAGCCCTGCAGGATATTGCTAGCTTTTCACAGCACAGTAGTGCCCAGAGGGCATAGGGGCGCATGCTAAACAGCTCTGGGCCTGTGTGTGCTGGGCTGGGATGCTGAGGCTGTAAACACTGAAGGTGCCATCCTATAAACTAAGACAGTATTAGAGCATCATGGCTGTTATACACATCCTCAGGCATCCAGTTCATCCACTGGCTGAAGATTCACACAAAAATTGTATGATTTCCACACACAGAACTAATACCTATGCCTCCCCATGCCCTTCACTCTTTAAGGTATAAGCTTACTACATGCCCATTGCAGAATGGTCTGTTCACACCAGCTTTCTCTACATAGATATCTAACTGCAGGCCAGCAGGTCCCAGGCAGGGCGGGTTGGCCTCTGGGGGCCATCCGGCATTGTTCATTGGTGCGGCTGGAGGAAGCTGCTGGCACCTAGTGAGCAGAAGCCAGGGGTGCCACTAAATGTCCCACAATGCCCTGGACAGTTGCCACAACCAAGAATACTGCTCTCCCCACCACACATACACACACGCACAGCCTTGCATTACCACAGGCTCACAAACATTGGGGCCAGGGTGTACGAGGGGTTCCATACGGGTAATGGCTCTAAGAAAAATTACACTGTCATCCTTACAACCTAAGAGAGATTAAGATGATCACAAATACAACTCTCAGAACACGCCTTTGTACAAACACACATACTAAGAAACCAAACTAGACTCAGTCACCCTAGGCTGGTCTTCTCCCTCTACCTGCCAGGTGGCAGCGTGGCACTAGGGTGACCCGACCAGCCTGGGCAGGGGCACCTGTGTGTGTATGTGTACTGTGATGTGTGCACATGTGTTTGTGGTGGGTGTTGTGACTGTGCGTGGACCTGTATGTACACGTGCTGGTTCTGTGTGGCAGTGAGCATGGATCTGAGAGTCTGGCACCTCGGCCCTGGAGCAGGGAGGAGGTATGGAGGTCTCGGCGTGGGGTCTCCTCCTAATTCTGCGCAACCCGAACAGGCCTGGTCCTGGAAAGAGAATGTGTTGGAATCAGGGACATCGGGGCGCTACACGGTGGAGACGGTCAGCACCGAGGAAGGGGTCATCTCCACCCTGACCATCAGCAACATTGTGCGAGCTGACTTCCAGACCATCTATAACTGCACCGCCTGGAACAGTTTCGGCTCTGACACGGAGATCATCCGGCTCAAAGAGCAAGGTGGGGGCCGCCGGGGGACGACGGGACCAGCAGGTCCTCTCCCCACCTGGAGCAGGGCCCAGACAAGGTCTTCCAGGGTCCTGGGGGCACAGAGCTCTGAGCCCAGCCAATAAGCAGGCTGGGGCCCGAGGACAAGCCACAGCACTGGTCCTAACTTGCCTTGCAGCCTCAGGTAGGTCAGAGAGCGGCCCTCCTGAGCCCAGGTCCCCAGGGCCAGAGGCCCTAGCCTGTACCAGGAACAGGGGAGGGAAACTGCTGTGGTGGGGGCCCTTCAGGCAATGTTCACTCGGCATTTCCCTCGTGCCTTTAGCGGTGTGCGATCTGCTCAGGAATGTCCTCATGGGGACACATGGGGAGGGATGTGTTTGAGACACAAAGCCAGTCCGGTTACGCAGAGTCCCCTGGAGCATGTGAACGCTGAGCTGCAGGGTAGCCCTCAGCTGTCCCAATACATGTTGCTTGGTGGGGGCCGGGTTTAGACCATGTGCAGTTCCTCCATGAACACAGGAGATGCATGGAGGATTATGTTCTGAAAGAGCCGCCGGCCAGAAAGGGAGTACTGCTCAGAAGGGCTCAGGGCTGTGGGGCAGCGGGAGGGAGGGAGGCATGCCCCGCTGTGACCCCGGGTACAGACCGCCCAGCTCCTGGTCAGGGGCATGCTAAGAACTGTAGTCTCTACTCAAAAGTCTCTGCACAGGTCAGAGGGTAGGGAGCACTGGAAGGGCATGGAGGAGTGGCTCCTGAGGAACTCAGCAGATACCCACAGCATGCTGGGTCCTGAGAGGGGCTGCCCTTCTGCAGCGGTGGCTAGTCCACGGCAGACAGGGTGGTCCAGGGGGCCTGGGGCCAGGCAGTCTCTGACCCCCTCCAAGATGAAGTCTCACCAGCAGAGATTCTCGGCCAAGCAGGTGGTCTCAGCTGGGCTCACAGGGCCTCAGTGTCTCCCAGTACCTCTGCACTAATAGGTGCCGCTTTGCACAATGCTTTGCACGTAATCTGCATAATATCATCCACACATCATCCCAAACCCTGCTGGTGCCATTGCTTACTCTCCATGTCTTCTCCTCAGTGCCTTGCCCTGCGCCCTCTCATTAGTGTGCTCACCCAAACCTCCCCAGACCTCCCCCACCAGCCTCGACGTCTCTCTCTGGTCCCTACCCCACTGGAGTCTCTGAGTCAGTCTGAACCAAATCTAAGTTCAGTTCGGCCAGCCTGGATCTGTTGGGCAGTCCTGGAGACATGACGGAGGAAGGAGGGAGCCCCTCACCCTAGCCCCTTGCAGAGGCCGTCCCCCAGTCCCACCTCACCCCAGCCAGCCAGGCCCTGGCTGTGGACGCTTGCTTTATTTCCAAACAGGTTCGGAAATGAAGTCGGGAGCCGGGCTGGAAGCAGGTACGAAAGGAGACATGAGAACTTCCCGGGGGGTCGGGGGAAGGGACCTTGGGGCTAGTGGGGGAAGGGATCCAAAAAGGGGTAGGGAGGCCTGTGCAGGCCACTAACTTCCCTGCCCTCTCCCCCTCTTGAAAGTCTAGTGCAGTCAGAGCACCTGGGAGAGGGGACCCCAGCCAGCATGGGTCTAGGGACCCCAGAGACCTGTCTCCTCATCGCTGATGCCAAGCCCACAGGCCCCTTGCACCCCAGAACCCTCATGCTTGCCCCCCCACTCTGTGCCTCCCCCCCCTTCTCTTCAGGAGCCCTGGCCCCTCCCTTCCGGGGTCAGCTGTCCCCTGGCCTGGCTGCCTCTATTTCCAGGCGCTCCCTGACTCTTCCTGCTTCTCACCATCACCACCAGCTCAGCTTGCCCATGGCTTCCCAGGACCCAGGGCCTCCCAGCCCCCATGTGGCCTGCATAATCCATGGGAATCCATGCTTTCTGCTCCGCACCACCACTCCTGCAGTCCCATGGAACCGTCATCCCAAGCCCAGGCTTCGGTGATGCCTCCCCAGGCACCTGGCAGCCAAGTGCCCATCAAGAACTCAGAAAAGAGAGAATCAGGACACTGCAAGCCAGACTCCATGGAACCAATAGGCCATGACAGGATTTGAGGGCCCTCTGCCCTGTTCCCCTACCACACTGGTCCCCAAGGAGCTAGAGCCCATCAGTTCCTTGTGTGGAGCAAGCCCTTTGTGGGGCCCACATCCCCCCTGGGCCTACTGCCCCTTTAGGAGCATCAATCCAGCACAAGCAAGCTCACAGAGGTGACTAGACAATTATCAACTCCTGCCATTTTGACCCTGACACCCGCAGAGCCCCTCCTGGTGCTGGAGGTAGTGTCGCCTTCCTGCCTCCACCTCACATGTGTCTGTTCAGTCATCTGGAGCTCCCTGACACCCGTCCTTTGTGGCTGAGACCCCCTGGGCCCAGTCCACTTCCTTGCAAGGAGGCCGAGCTGGAGGTCAGCCCCTCCCTCCAGGGGGCACCCAGGAGGCCGGCCTGCACAGGTGGCCTGGGCCAGACCTCAGGAAGCCAGGCAGAGAGGAAACACAGGCAGGCTGCAGAGAGAAGGCCACCCAAGGGGGTCTCTGCTCTCACCCACCCACTTAGGGACAGTTCTCCAGATAGGACTGTGTGCCCCCAGCTATTAACAGCTCAAGGAAGTGTGGCCTCACAGGAAGGCCCCTTAGAGACCACTTCCCTGGCTCTCTAGGTTCACAGGCCCTGACCTGTTAAGGACCTTTCCACTGCCCTCCTTTGGCTCTGAGCTCAGCTGAGACAAGACCCAAGTTTTTCCAAAGAAACTTCCCAGGAATCTGAGGAGCTGAATCAAATCAACATTAATAAAATTCAAAAGCAGAGAGCCAGTGAGCTTCCAGAGCAGTTTTCCTTTCCTGCTAGAATGAAACCCTGGGAACAGTCTTCTGTTTGTCAGGGCAAGCTCACCAGGGCTGAGGTCAACTGAGGTCAAGCCCCTTTTCTCACTCTCCGTGGTTGAAACCAACCCACACACCTCTTGTTTTTCCAACCCACACACCTCTTGTTTTTATTCCCTGAGTACCGCACCCACCTGCTCCCCGCTCCTCGCTGCTGCCACAGTGGGCTCAGCCACCAGCAGGCAGGTGATGCGTGCGCTAGTGTTACCGTCCTCAGGTGGAAAGAAAGTGCCAGCATACCCACAGGCCCGCCAGCTGCCTGGTACCTGCTCCTTCCAGGAGGAGGGGCCAGGGTTTGAGGTTTACTCCCCCTCTTGTCTCTTTAAAGAAAACAACAGCAATGAGAGGCTAGCCCAGAACCCAAGACAAATCTCTAGTTGTTCCCCTCACCCGCCTGAAAGTGGGGGACGTGGGGAGGTGGGAGGGAGCTCAGGCTCCAGAAGGAACTTCCTTTCCCCTAAGAACTACTTCTTTAAAAAAGCCACAGTCCTTCCCATATGGAAATAGCAACAGTGCTTGAACCTGGCCGGGTGCCAGGTTCGGTTCCCAGGCCTTTATCCACATTCACTCATCCAAATCCTATAACAACCCCCTGAGGTAGGCACTATAATTATCCCATTTTCCAGATAAGAGAGGTAAAGTAAGGTGCTCAGAAGTGATGGAGTCTGGGCCTGGGCAGAGCATGTGAGGTTTGGAGGGTGCCGTGTGGCACACTGGGCTATGGGAGCTGGGCAGGACCGGCTGGAGAGGGGATCAGAGACCTGGGTTTGCCCTGACTCTGATGCAGCTGTGTGTCCTGGACCAAGTCACTTGACTTCTCTGGACCTCAGTGTTTCCATCTATAACTGGGAGGCTTGGACTCCGTGGGCCCTAAGGTCTCCTGGCCCCTGCATTCTCCAGATGAACTAGTCAGGGGCCAAATCATGTGTTCAGACCCCATAAGCAGCCCCAAAAGGGCCAGGGCTGTCTGGAAGTGTGCCCTGACTCCAGCACTCTCCCCATCGCCAGCTCCTGGGCTAGGGCAGGAGGCAGACCAAAAGAACAGGGCAGGAGTGAGGGTGTGTACCCAGCTGGGGCTCAGGACCTCTCTCAGGGAGGGGAAGGAGCAGGACTGGGCAGGGGGAGGGGGGTGAGGGAAAGGAGAATGTCCCCTCAAGGAGGAGAAGGCGTTGCGGTCCTGGCCCCTGCCCCTAAGACGGGGCCTCTGTTCTACTACCCGGGATGCCCAGTAGGCCCCTGAGGACAACCAAGACCTGGTTGTCCATGTCCATCCCTCCTGCACCCGGGAAAGGGAAGAGAAGGAAAGCACGAATCCAACAAGCAGGGGAAGTGACCAGAGTCGTTCCTCAAGGAACAGCCAAGCCTTAGACCTTTCCAGCCGCTGCGTGTTAGAGTAGCCTTGGTTCAATATGGGAGGGAGCCAGACTGCGCAGCCCTGCCTCTCATCCCCATGTTCCTCTACCCCTGCCTTCCCCGCCTGTGTTGCTCGCCCCCTCCCCACTCCACCACGGCCCTGGCATCTTCCCCAGCCACTCCCACCCTCTCCTCCACCCAATGACCTGCTTGAGCTGACCCCCATTGGACCATGCCCGTGCCTGCCCAGGCCCCCGAGACCTCTCCCAGGAGGGCCCATGTGCTGTGGTGACCCCCGTGTGGCAGGGGCTGTGCCCAAGGAACTGAGTGAGGTCCTGGGGGGAGAGCGGGCTGCCCCAGATCCCTCATCAGCTGTGCCTGCTTCTCTCCCACAGAGTCTGTGCCGATGGCTGTCATCATTGGGGTGGCCGTAGGAGCTGGTGTGGCCTTCCTCGTCCTTATGGCAACCATTGTGGCCTTCTGCTGCGCCCGCTCCCAGAGAAGTACGGGAGGGAGACCAGGGATCTCAGGGAAGGGGACAGAGAGAAAGGCCGGGCTTAGGCTGCCCCAGAAAGCAAGTAAGCAGGAGGGCAACAAGCAGGGGCCCTGACCGCGCCGGGAGCCGCCGGGATGGGGATGAGGGCTTCTGCACCCTCTTATGTGTGGGGCTTTGTGTGGTTCTGGCACATAGCGGGCACTCAACTGATGTGGACTGGACTGAGTTGAACTTCACTGACAGAGCCGTCAGCAAGCACTTTGGGTGGGACACATGTAGCCATAAAGGACTGTATAGAAACAGGGAAGCAGGGAAAGTAGTTTGGTCCCTGCACGCCAACATCTGCTAGCCTCACCAGAAAAGCAGTTCACCCACACATGGGGAGAAAAGCATTCAAGGAATCACTTTGTGCAGACTTTTAAAGATCTTTAGTCATTAGCGATAAAACTGGTGTGTGTGCATTCTTGAAGAATCGTGTGCCTGGAGTTTCCATCCTGGGCACAACTCTGATGTTATGTGCAATAGATAGACACATGCAATTGACATGTGGACACGTAGGGCAGGGTGGCAGAGAAGTCACAATCCTCTAGTCCCGGTGTTTTTGCCACATGAGCTTGGGCAAGCCACTGCTATTCCAGGCCTCAGTTTCCTCATGTATAATAGGAAGGGGTTGGATGGCGTGACTTTTATGACCCCCTGGTCACACATTCTATGAGCAAATTGAGTAATCAGGGTAAGCTTGCCCCCTCCACCACTTGGCAGCTTCACGTATGAGCAGAAAGCTGTGTGTTCCTTACATTCCTCCACGCCCAGCTCAGCAGCTTTGGCACTCTAACTGCCCTAATGATGTGGTCGCAGGACCTCCCTCCACACCCTCTCAGCGGAAGGCATGTGGAGCATATTTTAGCAAGAATTTTCTATCAGAACTCTCCAGCTATAAATAGGCTGCCTCGCCCAGAAGCCAGAACATCTCCATCACGAAGCACTGACTTGGGGGCTGGACCACTTGGGTGGGAGGTTGACCATGAGACCCTGAGGTCCTTTCCAAAAGTAAGATTAGTGAACCTCTGAGTAGAGAGATCCAAGCCTGGTAGAGTAGGTCAGAGAAGACTTCTAGAAGGTGAGCCCTTAGTGGGATGAAAAGAGACTAACTCTGTAGGGTGGATGAAGGATGAGGACAATTTCTCAAGCCCCAGAAGCAGCAGGGAAAGACTGAGATGCATGCCACTGGGAGCCAGCAGAGAAGGGGCTCTGACACCCAACAGCCCCCAGCACATCCACACAGGTGTTCTGCAGGCGTGGGGCACGGAGAAGCTGAGTTCAGGGCCTGGAGGGTTAATCAGAGACTGAGTTCACCACTGGGGGAAGTGGGAATTTGACATCTCAGGCTCTAAGGGCTGAGGATGAGAACTGAATCTGCCATCTACACCTTCCTATTTTATGTCCAGATCTTAAAGGTGTTGTGTCAGCTAAGAATGACATCCGAGTGGAGATTGTCCACAAGGAGCCTGCCTCAGGTCGGGAGGCCGAGGAACACCCCACCATCAAGCAGCTGATGGTGAGAATACCGTCTTATCCCCATCCCACCCCAACCCCTGTGCTCCAAGAGGCCCTGGGACGGGAGGCTTCTTGATACCCTTGATGTTCCCAAGCATCAGTCAAGATGGGCCCTCCCCCAAATAGGCCAGGTACCTCCTCTCAGCCTACCAAGAGTTCCTGAGCATCTACTATATTGTATTGAAAGTTCTAGGAGGCTTAGAGACTAAGGTATAGTCCCAGCTTTCAGAGAATCTGACTCTTCAGTAAGGAAAGAAGACGTATGTGTAAATTTCCAAAAGAATTTGTTATATAATACATATGTTGTCATATATATAAATCATTCTAATCATAGACATTATAGATGCTCAGCACATGCCCTACCCCCCACCCCCAAAAGCCATCTACAGGAAACTTAGGTTCCGCTTCAGGAACTGGGTTGCTTACCAGAAGCAAATTCAACTTCTCGGGAACCGGAAGCCCTTTCCTTCTCTTCCTGACCCCCACTGATGGACCACAATCCTCTCAGCTGCCCAAGCAGAAACCCGGAAAACTGTGCTAGAGGCCTGGGGGCCAGTGCTGACTGGTCATGGTTGAAATACCTGGGAGCAGCTGCAGCAGACAAGGGGGTAAAGAGTGTGGGCTTTGCTGTGCCTGCATCTCCTCGTCTATGACATGGGATGACAGAGTACATGGGGCCATAGGGAAGGCAAAATGGGTCAAGCCCAACAGGGCTTGCGGCCAGTGGAAGGCAGTGTGCTCAAGATATATTAGCCATTTGTGCTGATCTGAAATAATCCATTTCCTCATCTGTCTCCACTAGATGGTGAGCAAGCTTCCTTATTCATGCCCAAGTCTCCAGAGCCTTACACAGTCCCTGGTACATGCTTGCCGATGTTTATTGAATTGACATGACGTTTTCCTCTGTTGCTCTTTTTCCTACCCAGTTGATTCTCAGGTCCTGTCAATTCTACTTCAAAACATCCCTCAGATGTGCCCCTCCTCCACTGTATGGTCACATCCTGAGCTGGGGGCTGGTCATGCTCCCCGGACTGTCACCACAGTCTCCTTGCGGCCTCAGCCTCCTGGTTTCACCACTTAGCTCAGTCCACCCTCCTGTCCACAGAAAGGATCCTTCTAAAACGCAAATCTGATTCTGTCACTCTCCTACCTAAAATCCCTCAGTGGCTCCCATGTCCACTGGATGAGGTCCAACAGCCAAGCATGTTATCAGCACTCTTTATCAAAGAGGCAGCTGCCGCCTTTCCAGCTGCATCTTCCTGCCAAACGCATCTGGCCTTCCAGACACCCCAAAGAAGCTGCAGTTCCCTGCCTTTGAATCTTTTATACAGAGGCTTTGCGCAGGCTGTCCCTCTGCCTGTTGATTTTTCTCGGTTGAATTTCATACTCCACTATGTCAATCAGCTCGAATGTCACCACCTCCATAATTTTCCGAGCTTGTCCCCCTGCGTGCTGGCAGAGCTGTGCACTTCCTGCTCTTCCCGAACACTTTGCAGGCTCCTCTTTTAGAGTGCATGGCCCTGGTTATGTGTTAGCTCCCCAGTCATCCCAGGGTTCTTCAAGAGTGAAGGCCAAGTTCTGGAATCTCTGCATCCGTTTCCCCCATGCCTAACATAGTGCCTGACACAGTGGAGTGTTTAACCTTACAAGGGGGAACCCACAGTCTGGACCTGGGAAGGAACAGATACCCCTGTAGATGAGCTTCATCAGGTCTGGTGTGGAAGTACCCAGGCCTGTCTTTCATCCCAAATGGGACCTTGAATTGCTTCTCCCTGGAGCATTCTGTGCCTCAGATTGTCTCCACACCCTCCAGTCCAAACCCTCAGGAAAGAATTGGGGGTCGCTCGGTAATCAGTTAAGAGCTGGTGGGGGCATAACTCTGGCAGAGAAGCCTGCTAAGGGCTCTTTGGCTAAGCCACCTTTCAGAGGAGGAGAACTGTATCCCCCATTCTTTTGGCCCCTGGCCCTTATGCAATCCCAACATTGAGGGGAGGCAGTCTTAGATGTCAAATTTTCTGGAAAAGAACTCCAATCCAGACAGAGCTAGAACATTTACTAGAAAATGAAAAAAGCAGCATTTGTGAGGAACTAAAGGGGTGGAAGCACTTTGGCTGATTCCATGAGGCTCCCAAAGGAGACTAGAAAGGGAGAAGAAACATTCCCAGGTCAGAGAGTGGGTGGGTGGGCACCTGGCCTAGACCATGTCGTGTGCAGAATGATACCTGGGAAGCCTCTCTGTGCCACAGCATAAGCATCACTGTAGCTATTCAGATGAACATATACCCACCATGTGCTGAGTACACTTTATTTTTTACCCTAAAACATTTTAATTTTCAGTAATTTGGAGCTATGCCACTTCATTCATTCATCCACACCAGCATAACATTTGTGACATCCCTACTCTCTGCCAGGCACTGAGCAAGGCACTAGCAAATCAAGCACCAATGAAATACAATTAAATACAGTTGCATTCCAAAAGCATTTTGGTCAATGACCACAATATGCAAGGCCCTGTACCAGGTGTTCTGGGGACCCAAAGAGACACAAAAAGTGATCCTTGTCCTCAGGTTCCTGTTAAGAAAGATAATTTTGAGTACATCTAAGTCACTGCTATGAGTAACAGGTGTGGCCCATGGTGCCATCATCTCACAGGTAGTTGCTCATCATGATTCCTTCTCAAAGCCTTTGATAAGTCTGCACTGGGTGACGCACTTCCTGTGAGGACACCAACCTGTGCCCGGGAGTTGAGGGTCTGTAATTATTCATTTACAGGTCTAGCTCCCTGATGAGCACAGCTGCATCTTAATACATCTTAATCTGCGTATGCCTGGTCCTTAGCACAGTGCCTGGCCTGAAATTCAGTAAATGCCCAATGAATGGAATTGAATCAGCCAAGTGATATTCCTGGAGGCGACACCCTCGCCCAAGGGGAAAGTTCGGTCTTAGAGACCTGCACCTCGTGCACCCACCCACCTCTCCTTTCTCGCAGGTCAAGGACCCAGGAACAAGGACCTGGAATCTGCTCCCAACTCCTTCACCTGCCTTCCGTGGGCCGGGCAGGGAGGTGGAGGGAGGGGAAGGCAACGGTGGCAAGCGCCTTTTGAGTTCATTTCTCCCTCGTTCCCTTGGGGGAAGTGAAAGTTCAGTCACTTCCTCTCCACTGAGCAGCCACTTCCGGGTTGCAGATGGACCGTGGTGAGTTCCAACAGGACTCAGTACTGAAGCAGCTGGAGGTGCTCAAAGAAGAGGAGAAGGAGTTTCAGAACCTGAAGGTAAGAATAGCCAAGGGTCATAAGGCACAACCCTGCAGTCCGGTCTTCGGCGCTGCGGCCCAGCCCCAGCCCCAACCAAACAAGGACAGCAAACAGAGTCAGGTCACCGCGGGGACAGGTGCCCATCCTCTCCCTGAGGTGGCACACGCCCCAGCCAAGGAGCCAGAGGGTTCTCAGGTTGAGATCTCACGGTTCTGTTCTCAGCCGCCTCACAAATGAATTTTAAAAGTAAGTATCCATGTCTGGACAAAAACAAAAATCACTTAAAGCCTGGCTCTCAGATGACTTTCTGTCGCCCTGACATGGTGAAACACCCAGCCGGGAGCCCCCTGCCTCCCTGCCTGCTGCCACCTGAACACTGGTCAGCCCTCTCTCGGCGTCCCTGCCAGGCTAGCCGTCCCCACCCCAGCCCACTTCTGCCCGGCTCCCTCCGGCTTTCCCTCAGCCCTTCCTCCTAAGGCAGTGCCCGCTCAGCCTGGGAAGCCCGGGCGCCCAGGGACGCTGCTCTCGCCCTTCTCCCCCCAGGACCCCACCAATGGCTATTACAGCGTCAACACTTTCAAAGAGCACCACTCGACCCCCACCATCTCGCTATCCAGCTGTCAGCCGGACCTGCGCCCCACAGGCAAGCAGCGAGTGCCCACGGGCATGTCCTTCACCAACATCTACAGCACCCTGAGCGGCCAGGGCCGCCTCTACGACTACGGACAGAGGTTCGTGCTGGGCATGGGCAGCTCGTCCATCGAGCTCTGTGAGCGGGAGTTCCAGAGAGGCTCCCTCAGCGACAGCAGCTCCTTCCTGGACACACAGTGTGACAGCAGCGTCAGCAGCAGTGGCAAGCAGGATGGCTACGTGCAGTTCGACAAAGCCAGCAAGGCCTCCGCCTCCTCTTCCCACCACTCCCAGTCCTCTTCCCAGAACTCCGACCCCAGCCGGCCCCTGCAGCGGCGGATGCAGACTCACGTCTGAGGATACCAAACTGTGGGTGGGGAGTGCTGGGGAAGGGGCTGCGGCACAGTCTGGCTCTCCAGAGACCGTGGGTACTTGGCAGAGGACCCCAGAAGTGGCTGCCTCCAGGACAGCCCCCCGAGTGCCTCTGCCACCACCCTCCTCCAAAGCCCTGATCAAGCACAAGTCTGGGTCCCAGCCGCAGTGTGCCGGCAGGATGCAGGAGGGGAAGTGGTCAGAGGATGCAGCGGAGCATGCTGAGCTCAGCCCTGGACGCTCTGGTTCCAGCGCTTTCCTGGACGCCGTTCAGCTCTCTGCTCCTCCCACAGGCGCTAGAGGCAGCTACAAGTTTGCTTTAATGAAACTGCCATCCGCTCTCCGTGAGCTCTCCCCCTTGCTGCCCATAAGCCCTACCCCTGTGCCTGTGGCCCTCTCCAGCCTGGGCAGGAGTTGGGGAAGCACTTCCCAGCACCGAGCTCCCCAGAGACCCAGAGCCCCCCCTGCTCAGAGCCCAGACCCTGAAGGGCAAGAAGCCAGAAATGGCCCTGGCCCTAGAGCCTCTCCCACAACACTGGCCATGCGCCCACCCCCTAATTTGTTTGGTGTTTTGTGTCCATGCTCTTGCAGTTCTATCCTTGGACTTGATGCTTCGAACTCTGAGGTGGGACTGGCCCAAACACACTGTTCTTGGAGGGGCTTGGAGGGAGGGGAAGTGTGAGCACTTGGGGGATACCTTGCCCACCAGGCTCCTCTCCAGGCTGTGCTGTTCAGAGTCCCCCACCCAGCCCTACTTCGTGTACTCCCCTCTGCCCCTACAGCACAGCCGCAGCTAATACAGGAAGTGAGAGAGCTTCTCTGGACAGGGATCTTTTAACAGTCACTGGAGAGTTTCCTGGACTGGGTACGGCTTGAGGGGCCTAGAGGGCAGGTCACTGAGATGATGAGACTCATGTTCACAGCTGATGAAGCTCCAGGGGCCTAGATTTGCAAAAGGGACAATAGTCCTGTCTTCAGTGACTCCACAGGCAAGATCCACCTCCCCCTGACATCCACCTGAGAATAAATTTGTTGGACTTATCCAACAAATCCGTTCTGTCCTTTTGTTCCTGCACAGCCCAGGAAGAACTCAAGAACTCAGAGAGTACATTGAGGACCCAACGTTCATTGCCCTTCCTTAGTTCAGTGTTCCTAGATGATTAGGGTAGCTGAAGGCTGTGGCTGTGGGGCATCAGCACCCAGGGAGAGCCCTGTCCTTGCAGACGCGCCCAACCCAGAGTGCATGCAAACGCCAGGCTCACCCAACACCTGACTCATGCCAAATAACAGCTCAGAGGCCAAGTGGTCATGCTTGGCATGAAAGGGGTCATTCTAGGCCTTTCAGCAATATTCTGCAAGGGAAGTTCCCTTCGGGGTTCAGGGCAGGAGGCCCTCTTCAAAGAGCCTATGCCACCAAACACCCTAATACTCTGGGACTCAAAGAATACTCTAAGAATGGCCTTGTTTGGGTGGGAAGCTTGACATGGTGATGGTAGACCAGATGGGGCAAGTCTAAGTGCTAGTTCAGGGGACAGGGTTTAAATGGAATTTTGGAAAACCCAAATTGTCTGTAAGGTTGGAAGTCCCTCCTAAGATTTAGACCCTTCTTCTCCAGCCTTACCTGGTAGTCCTTACCCCTGTTGGAACCTTCACGTCAAAAGTGTGTGTTCTTTTCACACATTGTTGTCTGGGATGGCCCCAACCACAGATTCTGTACATAGCCTTCAAAATGCCTTCACCCAGTGGAGTTCTGCTTCCACCATATTTCCTATTGCTTCAAAATTCCCCAGTTCCTTTGCTGCCCCCAAGCCTGAGGTAGTAAAAACTGTTAAGAAATGTTAAGTGTGTATCCCAGTTCAGATTGTGCTCCGAGTCCCATTCTGGCCTGGCACAGATGTCAGGATATTGGTCCCTGTGCACCCTACCTTAACCTTGAAAACCTTCTTCCTTTCCATATATGTTTTGCCTTTGCCAACAGGAAACAAGGATCTAAGACCAGCTGCCAGCTGCCTTGGCATACTAGAAGAAAGACAAGGATGACTTCAGGGGATTTGTCCCCTAATTGCATCTTCACCACCTCCTAATCCTCACCACTGCCTACTTTGCCCCTTGCCCCTGTCTCTCTCACACACACACACACACACACACACACACACAGCTCTTACAATCGGTGGAGGTGCCCATTCTTTTCTGGGGCCCAAGGTTATGACAGAATAACCAGAAGAATAGGGCATGAGTCTGTTCTCTCATAGGATAGAATGAGCTCCTCTCCCTCTGTCACTCCAGGCACTCCCAGGGGAGGAATGCAGACTCTCAGGCAAGATGAGCACAGAGGACAGGAGCTGGCAGCCCGGACTCAGCCATGTAGTCTCAGTCCCCAGCCCCCTGAGCTCTTCCAATGCACAAATTCAGCAAAGAACTGCTGAAGGGATAGGAAGTCCAAGTAAGGCCTAGGTGAAAGAGGAGAATGTCGAGGGAAAAGAATAGCAATATCCAGGGGCTTCTGGGAAGCTGAGGCATTGAGGAGGAGACCAGGCTGAGCTACATATACCCCTCAGGTGTCTCCAGCCCTACTTACTTCTTGCAAAGGAGTAAGAAAGCTGGTAAACAGAGGTGTTAGGAAAAAAATAAATAAAGAAGGCAGTGGGAAGCCCTGAATCCCCCCATAGATGATCTCAAATTAACTTTTTATTTGTAATCTTTTTTTAATCCTGACCATTCCACAAAGCATCACCATTTTATGGACCAGGGAATGAGGCCTAAAGAAGCCAAAAGACTTGCCCAAGGCACAGAGCTAACAAGTGGCAAACATGAGATCTAAACACACATGGTTCCCACTGTAAAATGTTTCCATCCTACAGTGCAAGCTCAAGGCCACTTTCATCCTAGAATAGGATGGTCGTTTTCAAGGCCATCTGCTAGTACCCAATCTGGGGCAGGCTGAGCAGGGATAGGCCACAGCTCCTTTAGGGAGGCAGGACTAGCATTCTCCCACTCAAGTCCCCAGATGACCTGCAAAGACCACAACTCCTTGGGAAACAAAGCCATTCTGTGTATCAAATCACCCCCACTCCTAGCAAGGCCAGTATCCAGCTTTCTGATAGCTTTAAAATTCATTATTGGCTCCAAGTCACTGGATGGGAGCCCACTTGCTCATTCCCAGGCTCGCTATCAGTCTGGAAAGGCCGGGGTTATTTCCACCACCTCTTCAACTTCCATGGAATAGGAAATGCTATCACGTGAAGAGCTAGAATGCCACATCAAATCCATTTCTGATGGAGCCTTTTGAAACAAGTGCTATAAAGTAATAGGGCTTTGAAGCTGCCTTTGAACTTGTGGAGCGGAGAGGACCTGGGGAAATGAAAACGAACATGCTGAAGTCCTTGGGAGATTTCTCAGAACAGGAGAAAAGGAGCCAACAGGAACCCCATTCCTCACTTCCTGTATGGGAAGCATACTTGCAGCGTGTGGTGTTCGTTATTATGGCATCAGAATTGAAATTGCAAGGCACCCAAGCTCGATTAGCTCTTCCCAAGTATCACGTACGCGGTTTATGACGGCACCAGAAAAAGACAAAGGGGAGTCCTGTGATTAGTTTCTTCTCTAGGAAGTTTCCCTACAAAATAAGCTCTTTATTAAAATAAAGGTATAAATATTTGAATAAAAACTCTTAGTTTGTGTATTAGATTTTTGTTTGAAATACCACTTTGTTGCCTCTTAAAAGAAACAAACTTTTAGACATAGGCCGACGACATCTCGACTAAATCTTAAAGTTTACCTCCCCTTTTAAGCAGTCTTCTAAAAGCCTCTTACCGAAGATGTTTTAGGAGTTGTAAACATATACAAGCCACTTTCAGTTTTAGCATCCAAGCTACAGCGATCTTTGAGAATCACTGAAGAAGAGCTGTCACTCTGCTAGCTATGTCTCATCCCCAGTGAGGCTCCAATCATGTTTTCCCCAACCCTGTGTTTCAGTCTTTCTAACTCGGTCATCAACTGGGAAAAATGAGAAAGTCTTGAGTGACTTGTCTTTCTAAAAATAAGGACATGTTTTCCTGGATGAATGCGTTTTATTGCAGGAAGCCATGCATTCTTCTCTGTCTTCTTCCTGGGTCCGTCTCTGCCTGCTCTCTAACGTTAGGCTAGGTCTTGAAATACACTGAAAGCATTCATTACTACAGGCACAGTAGTTCTATCCTTCCACAGCCCTCATCTTTAAAAGGCCTTTTGTGAACATACACCATTCACAAGATACATTGCTGAATTGTGGTCTACATCCCTGGTACCATTCCATGTTCCCAAAGCGTCTCTCTGGGACAATCCACCCAGGCCACCCACAGGGCTGGGACATCCTCAGCCCCTGGGTGGAACGCTCCCTTGAACTCACTCACTGATCAGAAAGCCCCATCTATGCAGAGGCATCTCCTTCCGCTGCTTCATAACCTATGGCCCTTGGAAATATCTTGGAATGCTGTGAGAACATTCAAATAATGCTCCTTTGTAACTATCTTCTTTGTGGTGAATCTAAAATACTAGTGCTCAAAGACAAGGTAAATGAAGTCTCAGGAAACATGTCTTCTACGGGAGAATTTGGGTCTTAAGTAAGTGGAGCATCTCTGACATCCATTCCCAATTATGCAAGGAGAAAAGTGCTACTCAGGATAGGAACTGATATTGGGATTCATCCTTCTCAAAGTCACCATCAATTAGGCAAAGACAAGTCCAGGTGGATTACCTTAAATACACCTCCTTCACCACCTTTCTAAGGAAAGTAAGGGCAGAATTTTCAGATAAGAAACTATCTGACTTATATTAAGTTTCTCTAGTTCTCCTGCCATGCAGGGCTACATCAGTGGAACATAAATCCACAGAGAAAAAGAACAGAAATGGAGAGAACCTACCAGACTCTAACTTCTACTTTCATGGGATTTTTCCTCAGGAGAGAAATGCGTTTTTAAGCAAGAGATGCTTCTTAAGTGTTAAAGTTGGTGATGTATGTAAATGGTGTTTTAGGAAGCCTCAGAATAATAGATGGTTCTGGAATAGCTTAGTTCAATAATTCCAACTTCAGTCCCCTAGGGTGATTTCAACATCTGAGCCCTCTCTTACTCCCTCCGCCCAACTCCACCCTCCCAGTCTTGCAAGATTCTCAAAAGAAAGCTGTGCCTCTGTTGAGGGGTTGGGTGTACTTTAAGTTGGTCTTCCAAACTTGTAACCTGCCCCACAAATTTCATTTTTCCCTAAAAACTTTTTTGTCAAATCCTCTGTGTTAACTTTGCTGGACGGACTGTGGTCCTGCTCTCTGCAATACCTTTACATGAAGAAACAGAGTCTTCCAATGCACGTGGGCTCCTGCCAAATCTGACATCTAATGAAACTCAAGGTTCATCTCCCCGATCATTTCTCCAGCACAGAATCCCCAAGATCCCTAACAAGAGAGGTAAACTTGAGGAGAAAGAACTGGACAGGGAAACAGCTATAACTAGACACACACATAACATAAATCCCTCCTAAACTTTTAAGCTGGAAGGACTTCCTGGAACCATGTCTGGAACAGAACCATGGGAATGCTCAAAACGAACAAATAGTCTTCCGAAGCTATAATTAAGACATCAAAAAAGTTAAAGGGCTTAGAGGGGAACTGACCAACTCTGAGCTTGTACTTTTCAACCTTAATTTAGGAATTTACTGTGGTATGCTGCATGCCATCAAAATGGATAATGTCGCTCAAGAAACCACTTTCTCCAAAACCCCTAAAGGCGTGACTTCAACATGAAAACCACTGCCAGGGAGCAGTCTGAACTCATTGTTCATTGTTTGATTGTGCAAAGCCTGCATCTGAGTCATTCTCCTGATGTCTCACCAACCCCTACTTAGTTTGTAGGTGATTTAAAGACAAAGACCTTTCTGTAACCAGTCATGCTACTCAGTACCTGGGCAAATATTTGGTCCTCCAGATATACCTCACCTGCATTTCCAGTATTTTCCGTTATTCAAGGCGGTTTTCCAACCTAATATTTATATCATACTTTACAGTCTACACAAAGTTTTTACAATCATATTCCCATTAGATCCTTTCAACCTCATTGTGAGATAGGCATGCATAAATCACTATTTACAGGTGGAGGAGCAGAGGTTCACTGGTCTAATTACATGACAGAGCATCCCCAGGAGTAAAACCCACGACCCAACCGTGCGTATTTTGGGGCACTACACCTCGGTGCCTCAGAGATAGAACTGTTTCCAAGCTCAGATTTTTCCTGAGCTAGACAGTTGCAGGGGTAAAGCAATTGGATGTACTTATGTCCTGGAATGTAAAGTCCCGAATTTTTAAAATAAAATTAAGTAAATAAAAATAAAGTTAAGTAAATAAAAACCCGAGGCGTCCGAAATTAAGGCACACCATGTAATGTGAATATAGAACATCATTTAAATGTGATCCTAAGCCAGATAAAAGACTGAAACTGTGTCGTACTCAGCCGCGTGGTGGAGCTGGGTGTCCCTTCACTTCCCGGGCCTCAGTTTCTCCCTCTGTGGAGGAAGGCTAGACTTTTCGAGGCAAAATGGGATGGAGATGTTTTCCACTCCGTCGCAGGTGAAGACAGGTGCACCCCTGGCCTCGGCGAAGTCACCAAAGATCACGTGAAAGCGGCCGAGTGGAGATCAGAAAAGCCCGGGTAAACACCGGCTCAGAAAACCGCGGCCCGGCTTGCAAAACCCGGACAGCGGCCACGGAAGTTGCCGACCGCCCGGCTGACCTCCGTAGAGGTCGCCAGACACTTCAAGGGCTCTCCAGGCTGACCGCGGGAGGGCGCCGCTCTGCCTCCACCGACCCTCACGGGTTCACCCTGCGCTCCCGTGGACGGCGCATGCGCACCCCTGCGGCGGTTGGGGGGGCGGGGCCAGCTGGGCACGGTTGCTCCTCCGGCGCGCATGCGCCTAATTAAACCAGAGCAAAAGCTCGGGGGGTCAGGATGGGCTCTGCGCGTAGGCCATCTAGTCAAAGAGGCCGTGAGATCATCGTCTAGTTTACCACAGCACTGGTTCTGGGTGCTTATTAAAATTCCAGATTCCAGGTTTCCCATCCCCAGCGACGTGGGAACACCCGAGAATCTCTATATAAATCACCCCCAGGTAATTCTGATGTAACTGGTTCTCGTTTCAATGAATGTAGGAATTGGAACCTAGACGGGAGAAATGATTGGCCCAAGGGTACGCATAACCAAGTGGCAGGGTCTGGTGTCAGACCCAGATCTGCTGACTTGCACCCAAGGACTTTTCTCCTGCGCCCCTCTCCCCGCCCCCCTTATCTTCAGGAGATGGTTTGATCAGTACCAGGCAGGCTGGCAGGCAATTCGTTCACATTGGTTACACTAACTGAAGAATGAAAGTCCCTTTCTAAGAACACCACAGAACCCCATCCCACAACTCCACCTCCAAGGTCCACTCTCTGAGAGTGGACTGCCCTGCAGAAAGCTGAACCCACCTCCTCAAGGGAAGGATGGCCAGTTTGGGTATATATACCCCCATTCCCATACACGCTCTTGTCCATATGTAATTGTAAAGGACTGGCTGGCTGCACATGGCTTCACTGGCATAAGCCAACTAGAATGTAAAATGCTCCTGTGTCTACATATGCGTGTGTGGAACTTAGACGGGTCTGACCCATCGTGTGTGTTGGATTCTGGCTCAAGTATAGGCACGTTTAGTAACAGGCAGTGGCCCCAGTCCAGGACAGCTGGATCATACGTGCTGACAGCCACTTTTAATGGCCCTAGAAGGGGAAATGGACACTCCCTTGCACACTCTTACGAGAAGCTGTTAGGGAAGTGTCAAGGATAAGCAGAGATGAGATTACACACACACACACACACACACACACACACACACACAAAACTTACACCCCAGTCAGAGTTAGCAAGTCCTCCCTGCACCCTCCCAGGACAAAACTTGGGAAGCAAAACTTGCCCATGTAGAGGAGGGGAATCTGGGGGCTGCAGATGCTGAGGCCTTACTTGCTTTCAGAACCCCCCTCTCCCCTGGGAGGTGAGCAGCCAGCACAGCAGTTCTGCCCCAGCTTCCAGGAGAGCCAGCAATTCCATTCCCAGATGGTTCTCGGGGCCATTCTGTGGGATGAGGTTGGTGTTCTCAAGTCCACCCAACACTGTCGAGAAATGTGTCCTCTTCCTTTGTGCTTCCCAAATCTCTGCCCCTCGTTATCTGCCCTGTCCCAACCTAGCTGTCTCAAAACGTCAAGGCTGCAACTCTTTCCGAGAAAGCCAGGGACACAGTTGCAAGACTCCCCTAGGGGGGAGTTCCTGCTCTCCCTTCTGGCTCCAGATGTGAAGGAGCAGCTGCGGGGGTGGCGGGAAGCCCAGCTGGCAGCTAAGCAGGGCCCAGGAGGATGGAGAACAAAGCGCGTGGAGACAGACAACCGGCAGGGCTGTCACAATTCTGGAGACCTGGAGGGAGAAAAGCATTTTGTCCCCTGGCCTGGCAACTGGCTGACAGGACTTGCCAAACCCCTCAGACGCAGCCCGAGCCCTGCCCATCCCAACCCTGGCAGCCTTGGCCACCGGCAAGACGTTCTATAAACTCCATTTTATGATTCCCACTTAATCTGAGAAGGGAGACTTGGCTCTTTGTCTGACTCCACCCCTGTCCTCAAACATGCACCTCCCAGCATGAGATTTTGGAATATGAAGGCTGGAGAGGGAAAGAAAGGGAGGTGGGAGAGGGCTTGGCAACTTCCATCTAGCATTCCCCTTCCCCTCTCTACCCCTGGGAAGTAACTCAGGATTCGGGATGCCAGGTTGGGTGTCCAGCAGACAGGGCTGCTCTGGCACCACTTTGCTGTCCTGCTATGCCAGTGTGACCATGCATGACTTGGCACCAAGCACTGTACTCAATAAAAAGTTATTTCCTGAATTACGATGGCCTGCTCTGGGACCCACTGAGTCCTGGAAAGACTTCTGGTCTTTACTGAGCCTGCCGACTGCCCCATCCATGTTCTCCCCAACCTAAAGGACACTGGATATCACAACTGCTTCCGTTTTAGGAAAAATAGTTTAATGATAGGTTTCAAACCTTTTTTCTAGATGAGGTCCCGTTCTCTGTGGAACCCCCACACTTATGATCTTCCCATGCCTGCTGGGAGATAGCAGCCCCTTCTCTGGAGGGCACCCACCCACTGCAGATGCCCCCACCCCCCCTGGGAGGCCTCTTCTGGGTCTAGGCCTCAGGGGGCCCAGAACTTTTGTGTTTTTATAAAAAGTGGGCAGAACACTGTACTGTGCCGTTTTCTGGATGCCATGGGACCAGCCCACAGCACTTTCCTACCCCTTATTTAAATAGCCCATTAAATAACCTCCCAGAGCTGGCAGAGAGGAGATGCCACAGCAACCAGCCCCGTGCTTTGGCAGGGCTCCCGCTACCCCGGAGCTTCCACCTGACTGGGTCTGGCCTCCACTAGAGCAGCCAGGGGCACGGCCTCATCTCAGACCTGGCCAGCCTCAGGACCCCTCACCACACAGAGAAGGGTGGGTTCAAGCAGGGCATGCTGGCACCAGGCACCTGCACAGCCATGGATGGGGGTGGCTCAGGTGGCAAGGGGGGCACACGATGGGTACCGCTCCTGCTCAGGTCAGAAGTAAGTGAGATTCTTGACTGCTCCGATTTCTAGCATCCGCTTGATGGCTAGGGCCTCTTGGGAGACATTGTGGCCTGACCCCTGTGGAGACAGCCAAGGATGCACACTGAGGGACTCCCAGGGACCTCCTTGGCCTAGGAAAGTCTCTCTGGCCCACCCCACAGCCCCATACTTTGGGGAGCACCCTTCCCCAAGCTGGCTCTTGGAAGGAAGGCAGAATCTGTGGCCTAATACAGAGGACAATGGCCTGGGAGTCCAGATGCCTTGGTTCTTACTCACCCAGTGTCCCCAGGCCAGTCTGCCCCACCCAGCTCACAAGCAGGGACTGCTCACCGCCATGGACTTGAGCGTGATCTGCTCATAGTAGTGAATGGTCTGCTTCTTGTTGTGGATGTCCGGGTAGCCAAAGCCAGCAATGTGCACCAAGTCACAGAGGTGGAGGGCCAGGGTGATGGCCAACAGTCCGGTGGTGGGCTTCTGAGGAGCAAGGTGGGGGGAAGGACACAGACTCCTTAAACTCATCACACTCACCTTGTCCCCTGTATTCCCTATATTAGTTAAATTTACAACCATCCACCCAGTTGTCCAAGCTGGAAACCTAGTTGTTATAAATCTCTCAATTTCACCTGTGAAGTAAATGTTGTAGCAGGGGAATTCTAAGATTACCCCCAATGACCCTCACCCTTGAGTGTGTGTGGAACCTATGAATAGGATGAGGTATATGATATTACATTATGTTGCTCTGTATGGCACAGTTGACCATAAGATAGGAAGATAATACAGGTGGGCTTGACTTAATTACCTGAGCTTTACATCTGATCTAGAGATCAGCAATGTCAGAGATGTGAAGCACAAGGATTTATCATGCTATTGCTGGCTTGAAGATGGAGGGATCCACATGGCAAGGAATGTGGGCAGCTTCCAAGAGTTGAGGGTACCCCCATCCCAGGCTGAAAGCCAGCGAGGAAATAGGACCTCAGTCCTGCAACCACAAGGAACTGAATTCTTCCAACAAGATGAAGCTTGGGCATGAATTTTCCCAAGTCTCTAGACAAGAATTCAGCCTGGCTGCCAACCTGGTTTGAGCCTTGTATACCCTAAGCAGGGAATCAAGCCACACCATGTGGACTTCTGACCTACAGAACAATGAGCCAATCGATCAATGGATGTTGTTTTAAGCCACTAACTTGTAGAACTTTGTTAGGCAGTGAGGGTAAACTAATGCTGATAACAAGTCCATCCTTCCTTTTCCCTCTCACGTCTGCCACAAGCTGGGTTCTCATCCTTGGCTTCTCTCTGGCCTTCACCCTCTGTGTCCCACCCCATCAGGGGCTTAAAACCTCTCCTTGCTGCACCTTCAACTCCATTTGCACTAGAACTCGGTGCCTGGGGAGCTGTCTGGTCTTGCTCAATGAAATACCTTTCCCTGATTCTCTCTGCCTGATGGGCCTCATGACCCTGCAAGACCCAATTCCAAGGCTACCACCTCTGGGAGGCCTCCCAGATAGCCCTAAGCAGAGCTCTGTCCTACCTCCCAGATCCTACAGCATTTGGAACAACTTTCTATCAGGCCATTTGCTACTCTTTGCTGTTACTTGTATGTTTATTTTGCTAGACTGAGTTTCCTCAGGGCAAGGAGCATGTCTTACTCCCTAAACATGCAAACTTAGGGCCTAGTACTGAGCAGCCACAAATGTAGGCATTCAACATATGAAGACGAATCACAGTAAATTCAGTAAACAAAATTATTTATTCAAAATTTAACAAATATTTATTGAGCATTCACTGTGTACCCATCTCTGTGATAGCTGTGTTACATAATTATCTTTTTAAATCCTACAGTGCCTTACAAGGTCAGTGTTAATATTGCCCCCACCACACACATTAGAAAACCAAGGCTCTGCAGCTGATTTGCCCAAGGCCACACTGTAAGTGGTACAGCCAAGTCCTCTCTACGGCTGCCAGTTACCTCTGTCCACCACCCCACACAGTTTCTCTGAGGTCTCAAAAGACCTGCGTGGAAGTTCTCAGGAAGTCACAATGTGTTAAATGCACCAGCTGAGGGTCAGTCACTGGGGCTCTGAATGCTGAAAGCAAAGCTCAACCTTCCAGGACTGTCCTGACTCCCAGAACTGACGCACCTTACCAAACCGTGACATGCAAGACAGACTGGACACTCGGGCTCTTTTAACTCATTCTGACCATTACGTTCCAAGATCAGATCACAGATAAAGTCAGGAACTGCATGGGCTTGAGTTGTCCTGACGAGAAGCACACTGACTCTCCCAGCAACTCCCAGCTTACATATTCTGACCGGTGCCTGCCCAAACCCTACTCTAACTCCAGCCCCAAGCCCGAAAAGTACCCTTCCCCTAACTCCTCGCTTTGGAGATGCCCCACGGTTCTCAAACCTGCGTGCTCTCCCTGGCCGCAGCAAGCTGAAGAGTCCAACGCTGATGGCAGGTGAGAGCCCAAAGGCTGTGCTCGGCAGGCTCTAACAGGTGCTTTCAAACACAGGCAGTGAACTCTGCGGATCTCTGTTATCACTGAGATCTCTGCAGATCTTACAAGCTGTTATTTCCCCCTCTTACGGGGTGCTCCACAGCTTCCTCAGCCTCTAGAACGTCCCACCTACTTCCTGCCCTGGACCCCAGCCCCTCCCCCAGTCTCCCTGTTCGCAGCCTATCCTCACCTGCTTAATCTTTCGTGGCTGGTGCATGGGCAGGCTCAGCAGTCTGTCAGCTGCTATCTGCATGAAGAAGGGGTTGAGGATCCGAATCTGTTTGGGGTTGACGTCCCAGATGAGGGGAGGCTGCTTCCAGAAGCCCTTGCGCACCTGGGGGGAGGGGTTGGGAGGGAGAGATAGCAGTGGGTGAAGACCTGTTTCTCAAGTCCAGCTTGGAGGTCCTCTGCCTCAGGAGTGGGGGGAGGGGTCTGCATCACAGCAGAGGCCATTAGGGGTTGGGGTGAGTGGAGGCCTGCCCAGAGACGGGAAGACCAGAGGAGAGAAGGGGGCCAGGTGGTGCAGTGTGCAGCGTATGGGGTCCAACCATTGTCCGATTCCAAGGATATCCAAACAGGTCGGAAAGGCTTGAGTTTGGGGTTGTCTAAACATCTGGCAAAAATACCAGATCGGACAATTTAGCATCTGGTCTAATGACAAAGAGACATAGTGGACTTGCTAGGGTCCACCGGGAGGAACAAAAGTCTCAACTGTTCCAACCTGTCCCTTGCCTGAAGAGGACTACTGGCCGGTTCCTCTGCTCCAAGCTGCTCACTGGCAAACGCACATGCTGGCAGCTTTCCTGGGCCAGGCAGCCTCCAGTGTGGGGAGCCCTGCAGAGCACTGAGCTGATGCCCTCCCCTCCTGGGCTCTTCAGGACTGCAGGGCAGACACTATGGGCCATGTGGTTCCGACTCAGGCAGGGTCCCCACCCCCACGCCTCAACCCTCTCCTCCCATTGCCCCCACTTACTCGTTTCTTATCACTCAGGATGGTCTCAATCCAGTGGAAGTCCATTGCCTTGAAAGCCACCAGGACAAGGAGTGTGTCTGGGTTGTTCTCCACTTTGGGGTTGAAGTGGGCAGATTCAGGGTAGAAGAGACGCATGGTGGTCTTGGAGCCCACATCACCCTCGAAGCCAGCCACTGGGGCATTATTCAATCTGGGAGGCAGAAGGATGCCATCACCTAGAGCTCCACGGGGCCTGCCTGCAGTCACCCCAAAGGGCAGTGGGAAGGGCCGGTCACACGCACCTGATGACCACGTCATACTTGTTGATGGCATCTCCCAGTGAGCTGTTGCGCAGCCGGTGCCCGTTCCCCACCACCACGCAGCGGCGGCACTTGAGACTGCCATGGGAAGAGGGTGATCAGGCCCGAGGCCAGCCCTGCTCTTGCCCACTTAGCTCTCTTGCCCCAGCTCTGCGCCAGGCCTGGAGGCCCCTTCCGCCCGGAGCAGGCATCCCCAGAGTCCTGCTGGACTTGCGGACTCTGCAGCCTTTAATGGGAGAGGAAACTGAGCAGAGCATGGAAGTGACAGGACAGGAGGGAAGACTTTGAGGGGGTACCAATAAGAAACCCCATTTCAGAGCCCCTGCACCTGCTGCCCAGGCCTGTCTTGTCACAGAGACACCCTCAGCGGCCTCTGCCTGCCCAGGCACCCCGATGCCCAGGCCCAGTTGCTGTGGCGATCAGAGTACCTGCCTCCCTTGGAGACAGGCAGAGTAGGAAGAAGGTCAAATTGGCCACAGGGGACCGGAGACAGAAGGCTCCCTGGGAGGTATGTGCCCATGGCTGTTTCACACTGTGGCACAAAGGGGAGCAGCGTGTCCTTACCTCTGGATGCTCTCTGGAATGGAGTAGCTGGTGATGGCTAGGACCCGGAGGAGCAGGTCTTCTACAAAAAGAACCAGATTGGAAGGGCTCATGACAACAGTGAGCATTGCAGGGGCAGCCTTCCTACCCCCCCCCACTGCCCTTCAGGGCCTTGGGTGCCTTTTCCTCCCCAGACCCACCGTCAGAGCCTGGCTCAGAGCTTGGACTCTGGGACCCTGGGACGTAAAAGAACAAGAAACTGTGGCCACAGTGAGCCCACCATTCCCACTACACCATGTGGGTCTTACCACTTCCTTTGGTCCCGTAAGGCAACTCATAGGCAGATGGTGTCTTGACCCAGAAATAATCCTTAAGCTGCAGGAAGATGGGCTGATCTTGGGAGTAGCTGCCCAGAGAGGAAAGCAGGGTGGGGAAGAGAAAGGGATTAATCTTGATGAGAATCAGGGTCATGCCCCTAATATCATATATATGGTATATATATGATATATATATGCCCTCATGGGCTCCACCTAGCCCAGGTCCACCAACACAGTCCCCTCCATCTAGCCGGCCCTAAGACCCCCACCCTGTGAAACTCCCAATCCCAGCTCACCCCATGCCCCACTCCACCCACCGCAGTCTCCTGTACTTACTTGCCAAAGAGCTTAGAGGCCTTCCTCTCCGCCTCGCCCTGAAGGCATGGCTCCTTCTTCTCAGGGATGGGAAAATAAAAACTGGAGACAGAAAAGGAGCAGAGAAAGGAGCTTGGTCAGCCGTCAGGGGCCCAGGCAGCCTCAACGTTCGCCACATCCCAAGACGGCGGAGAGCAGCGTGCAGGGTGGAAGCACCTCAACGCCAGCTCCTCTTTGAAACTGGCTCATTGAGGATCCAGCTCTTCCTTCTCTGGCACTCCCTGGGTGAGGGCTCTGGGGAAGCATCTCAGACTCCGTCCCCCAAACCCACAGCACCCACCCTCCCAGAAGGATGTCGTGCTAGTACTGAAGGGAGAGGTCATACCCTGGCTCTCGGAACCCTCCTGCCCGACTGGGTGTCCCACTGCAGGGTGCTCCAGCCCCAAGCCTTCCTGAGAAGAACCAACAGAAGGATATGAAAGGGAGACTCACAGCTCGATGTACCTGTCTTCTCGGGAGATGGAGTACCACACCATGACGACCAGGACCAGAGCCAGCATGGCCAGGAGCTTCCAGCCTGCAGGGCACACGCACAGAGGAGCTGGAGGCAGAAACAGGTGGGCACGGCCCCAGTCCACCTTCTCACACCTGCCCCCTTTCGGTCCCCTGCAACCACCAACTCAAGCAGACCCGGTCCCTGGCCCTCACTTCCTAGCATGGGGCTTGGACCTGTGCATTTCCACTGTCCTTCAAGATGAAGAGCAGGACCCTGGCTCCCTGGGACACCAACAGGGGGTCCCAGGGTGATGCTGAAGGCTGCTTCTGGGGGCCCATGTTTCAAGGTGGGGGAACTCTCAGACAGCACTCACGGGACTTGCTGATCATGTTTCTCAGCAGGTAGCAGTGTTCCTGGGGAGAGCTGTCATCCCGGCTGCCTCGGGCCACCTAGGAGGTAAGAGTCACAGGCATCCAGTCAGCTCCACAAACACTCCTGCATACACCGGAGTAGGAAACACCCCTCGCCTGCCTCTTCCTTCCTCCAGAAAGCACAAAGCTGCTTCTGGGGCAGCCATCCAGACAGCAGCCCTTCTCACCTAACCCCTCAAAGGCAGCATCAGGGGTCCAGAAAGGGAAGTCAGGTCCCCCCCCTCAAGGATCAGGTCCCAAGCCAGACTGACCCACGGCAGCTTCCCTTGAATGGTTCCTCTCACTGTGCTCTTCCACATTTTGACCTGGGAAGGGCCAGCTCCGGAAGGCAGACAGGTACCTCCACCCACTTAACATGCAAGTTAAGCTAACTGTACGCACAAGGCATGATTCATATTTTAATACATAACTGAAGTGCATCGATTCTCCAGCAGCCAAGGCAGTTCCCTGGGTTCTGGCTACTACCCACCTCTCCATCATCAGTCTCCCCCTTCTCTAGCCCAGTGGGTCTGCCTGAGCCAGACACTGAGGTGAGGGTGTGCTCTAAGATGCTTCAGAAGGCCTCCTTCAGTCTTATGCACTCTGATCAAATGCAAACAGGGTCCCATCCCTCACCACCCAAGTGCACGGGGGAGGCTCAGTGAAGGCTGGGTGATTTTAAATGAGAATATAGAGAACAGGAAGGGATAGGGCAAAGGCCAGTGTGGTAAGGACAGGGCTATGGAAAGGGCTATTTACTTGCACATAAGCAGGTCCCTTCAGCCACCAACTCATCCAGGAAAATGCTTCAGAGTCACCAGGGAAGAAATTTCAGGAGTTTGCACAGCCACACGAAGAGGCACGGGGTGTTGAAGGCCAGTGCCATCCACACTATGTTCCCCCAAAGATGGGGTCCTAAGAATCATCATGGGCCACTTACTAAACACAGATTCCAGGGCCCTTCCCAGGAATTGCTTGAGTTTGCTGGCGTGGGACCTGGGACAGATGTTTTCACAAGCCGCCAGGTGATTCTTGTGATGGACCAGGAAAGGGGGAAAATACTAGTGTTTGTGCTCTCCCAGGGATCAATGGAAAACCTCCAGTTATTTCTCAAGGGCAAGGGACAGCATCTGGATGAGACCCAGTTTATCTTATAAATCATAAATCAATTATCCTGAACACTATCCCATTATGCAGCCACTACCAGGCTCTACTCTGAGTCCACAAACATCAAAGAATGAGTCTTGATGGGGAGAAGAGTGCCAGGTGGGGCCAGCGACCAGTGAGACATCCTCAGTAGAATCAGGAGCCCCTCTCCCCAAACCCCAGTGGGGAGAGAGGACGGCCCCATCCAGTAGAGTTCAGAACTGTAATCAGAAGAGCCCAGTGCAACACAGTTCTAGTGACTTCCTCAACCACTCTCCCAAAAGTAACACTGCCTTCTTCCACATACACCCACAGTAACTGCCATGTCATTTCCTACCAGTCACCTATCTCCTTTACAGCATTTCTCCTGATCTGTAATTAGCTTATAAGTTATTAGCTTTCTGTCTGTCTCCCTGGGGTAGAAGCTCTGTGAGGGGAGTAGTCAGGTCTGTGAGCTCCCAGCTCCTGCCCCTCCCGGCATCTAGCACACTGCCTGGCACATAGGTGGAGCTCAGAAGGCACTGCATGAATAACATGTTGGGTTGCCCCAGGGGCCTTGCTTCTCCCTCTCTGACCCTCAGTGACTTTGGCTGTAAAACTGGGAAGTTGGCCTAGTAGATGCTTGCAGCTCAAAATATATTTAACACCTCAGCAACCTGGGCATCACTAGGGACCTTATTAGAAATGCAGAATTCTCAGGCCCCCTGTAAACCCACAAAATCAGAATGTGCATTTGAAAAAAAAGATCCCCTATGACTCACATGCACATTCAAGTTTGAGAAGCACTGGTCAAGATGGCTGCTCTTGACCTTGGCTGAACAGGAGAATCACCTGGAGTACTAAATAAAAAGAGTACCTGGGCCCTGTACCTAGGAATTCTGACTTAATTGGTCTGGCCCAGCGCTGGAATTTGTTCAAGCAGCCCAGGTGATTGTAACGTGCCCCCGAGGTTGAGGATCACTGGTCCGGACGATGGCAAAAGCAGACTTCTCAAACCCTGACGTGCCCGTTCTGACTCGGTGGGTGTGGGAAAAGCCCAGTTCTAACCAGCACCCAGGGATTCCCTGCTGCTAGGCTGAGACCATATGCAGCTGTGAAGCTCTACCCCGGGATCCTTGCAGCTCCAGCATTTCATCACCCCATGAACCACACCTTCCCTCACCTCTGCTCTCTCAATCTTCCTTACGTGAGACCAGGAGTCACCCCACCTCACTTCACCTCCAGGTCACCACATCAGTGACCTGACTGCCACCAGGCCAGAGCCTGCAGAGTTTAGAAATACACAGGTATCTAGATCCCACTCTCCAAGATTCTTATTTAATGGGTTAGGGGCAGGGCCCAAGCTTTAGTAAGTAAAAACCAGAACAAACAAAAACCCCATCTCTCTTGGCTTCTAACATGCGGCCAAGATGGAAACAACTACCTAGAGCGTGCTTCGTAGTAACTGAAAGACACACATAGCCAGCCTGTAGGCCCCACCTCCAGGGAGAAGGGCTTTGGCAGTCAGAGGTGAGCACATTGACTGGTCCCAGTCCCGAGCAGCAACACCACTAGCCCTCGCTGGCTTCTTCCCCAATAAAGCTCTGCACTGGTGTGTCTTTGTTCCCACACTGCTGGTGCTGGGTTAAGCAGACTGCGTAGTCTTAGAGCTTGTTCCAGGACACCCAGTCAGGGACTTCATTAGGCCGTCCCCCTTTCCTGCTGGGCTCGGCCAAGAGGAGTGCACAGCAGCCCCCAGACATTCCAGGAACTCGAGCTTTTTGGAGTGGCTGCTGCCTCAAGACAACTGAGTGCCTTCTCCCAGCAGCTGACCCTTGTTGCTGACCAGGCCCCTGGGTACAAAGGACAGAAGAGAAGAGTCACAGTAAGCTACCTAGAGAGCAGGAATGTGATCCACGCAGGGCCAAGGTGTACCAACTTCTACCTGCAACCAGCTGCAGAGGAGACCAGCTCACCCAACCAAGTAGGTAAAGCCAACCCAGGGCAGGGAGGCCTAGTGTTCTCCTGGTGCTCTGCCAAGAACCACAGTGTCCCTGGCTGAAGCAAGACTGATGCGTGCTGGCACAGAAGTCGCCGAAGGGCAGAACCGGGGACACGGGGTGAAGAAATAAGGCCAGGTGGGTGCAGCGCCCGTGCCTCTGCTGCCCCGGTGCTCATAGCCTAACACGCAGCAAGTACTCAGCCGGTAGCAGCTGTACCAGGGACACAGCACGATGCCAGGTGCCTCAGAGCCGGCCCATCAGAGCAAGAGGGCTGCTGTCCCTGCAGAGAGTACCAGAAGCTCAGTGGGGGCAGGACACAGGCTCTGCTTGTCAGTTCGGAGGCCTTTTGCAAGTCTCGTAATCAATGTCACTGTCCCTCAGTCCTGCAGAGAAAAACCGCCTGTCCCCTCTGCCCACCTACTGCTCTGCTCCCTCCTGTTCCCTCCAGCGCCTGTTCCTCCCCCTTCTACTCTGACTTAGAAACATCCTCAAGTCTCCCTCTTCCTAAATAAAAACAAACCCCCCCTGCCATCCCCCGCCTGGATCTCCTCCTCAGCTACCCCTGCATCGCCATCCTCACCTCCACAGGTCAGACTCTGCCCGTGCTGCGCCCTCACTTCGCACCCCCTCTGCCACCCGGACCCCACCCCTGCTTCCACCCTTATTCGTATGCTGAAGCCGCTCTTGCTAAAGCCTTCAGGGGTCTCGAATTCTCACACCTGAGAAAGGTCTGTCTTCAGGCTTGATGGTGGTCTGACGCCTCTGCTGCTGTTAGCCCGCGTCTCCTTCTTGACTTCCAGGCTGAGACACGCTCTGGGATCTCCTCCCACCCCCGTGTCAGCCTCTAGGCCGGTCCACTGCCTTTAAGTGTGGGCCTTCTCCAGGGACCTGCCCTTGAACCTCTGCTCTTCCCTGCTTGTTTTCACAGGACAAGTTCATTCATTCTCAGAGGCTCAACTACTACTTATTCCCTGATGATTCAAGCTCATTATTGTCAGCCCTTTTAATTTCTCTCCCAGGTCACATCCTAATATTTCTGATTTTCTGCTGCACATCCTACTTGGAATGATCTTAAATTCTTCAATCTTAACCCATCCCAAATGACACCCGTCCCTGCCTGCTGCCCACCCCCACCCCACATTATCATCAACCCAGTCTTCCAATATCTCCCTCCCCTCTACACCATCCCTACTAAACAGTTACTGAATATTATTGATCCTACCCCATTTCCTCATTCGAGCAAATGTTTGGCATTGTGGGAGGCACTGGGGGTGCAAAGCTTCAGAAAACCCAGCCACGGTGTCAAGGCCACATAGTCTAGAGCATCAGAAATGGTTCAGGATACAGTCCCCCATCTCGTCTTCCCAAGCCACAGACTGATTCTAGATCCCACCCAACTTACCTGCTTCCTAATCCGTCTCTATGACAAGTCTTTTCTCACTCAAGCCCCCTCTGGGAACTGCTGACATGGCAGCTTTCTAAGAAACGGTTTGGATCAAACCACCCTCCTGCTTTAGTCGCTCCCCATCCCTTAAATGAAAAGCCAAAACTCTTTAGAAGCAACCAGGGCCCTTGGAACCCAGGGATACTTCCCAAGCATACTATGGAGCCACCCTTTCCTTCCACACTCACACCTCTGCACATTCTTCCTCCATTGGGAATCCCTAAGCACCCCCCACCCCAGTTGCCTTGATAATCTCTCCTTCCACAGTATCAGCTCACATGTCCAACCCCTATGAAGTCTTTTCCAACATTTCTACACAACTGATGTTTTTCTTCCCACAAAATGTTGTTTGTATCTTGCTTTCATCACTAAACAGGTAATAGGATCTCATACTATGTAATTACTGCTTTTCATGTCTTGCCCACTAACCTCTGAACTCTGAGATGGAAGACTCGTTTATACCAAGA